AAAAAAAAAAATTTTAAAAGAGGCTGTGGATGTAGCTCAGTGCAAAGGCCCTGGGTTCAATCCTCTGTACTATAAAATAAATAATGCCTCTTCACAGGGGCTATCATGAGGTTTGAAAAAGATATGACCATGAGGCTGGCACCTGGTAAGTGCTCAAAATAGTGAATTATTTGGCATGATTTGGGCTCAAAGTTCCACAGTAAAGACACCCCCAGTTCCTAGGTTTATCTGGCTACAGGAACCATTGTGTTACTCCTGCACTGCCTCAGAACCCCTGAAACATCCATGAGCTCCTGGGACGTGGCAACCAACCTCTCTCTGACCCTGGCTCCCCTTTTTGGGTAGGCCACCCTCTCACCTCCCCTCTTGGCTCCTCCTTCTCTTTCAAAACCAGAGGTGGAGACCACCAGGCCTCAGTCCTAGCCTACCTTCTCTCTCCACTCTCTCTCCTGGGGACCACCTTCAGGCCTCCTGGCTTCCTCTGCACAACTCTGGTCCAGCCACCAACTCACCTTGGACAACAGCCCTTCTCCTGCTGGCTCCCATTCGACCTCACAGGGCCAATACTCTGTTCCCAGCTCCAGTCAGGCCCCAGTCATGGGAAATAAAGCCCAAACACCTAACACGCTACCCTCCGTGATTCCTTCACTCTGCTGTGGCTCAGCTCAACCAACTTGTCCCACTGTACCTCTGCGTCTGTTGGGCCCTCCACCTCAGGACTCTGAGCTCTCGGTCCTCTCTCTGTCCACCACCCAGTTCTCTTCCTTCCCTGTCTTGTTTACACGTCTCCACACTAGGACAGGAGAGAGTGAGCACGGAGCCCCCACACCTCACGTGGCAGGCACTGGGGAGGTGAGTACTGAGCACTCAAGTGGGGACACAAGACAAACCCAGAGTGAATACAGTCTCCCTGCCACGGGGTCCGGGCCAGCCAACAGCACGCATCCATCACCAGTGCTGCGCTGGTCAGCTGCCTCACAGCAGCCTGCTGGCCTGTGGGGCAGAACCTATTCGCTAGAGACTGCACAGCCAGTAGCCCAGCCAGTGTCCACTGCTACATTTCCCGTTATTTGGGTGAAATCTGACACCTGGCCCACGCTGGCCCTGGAGCTCGGGGATGTGTGGCTTTCCCACCACACGTGCAGAGGAGGCTCTGGGCTGGTAAACAGCCTCTCCATAGAAACCTTCAAGCCACAAGAAGGAGGCCTAGGAGACCAGCTCCCCTAGATAGGATGTCCCTTGAAGGACTTGAAGGGGCAGGGCTGGTGCCTGGTCTAGCACTGCAGGGCTGAACTGACCCAGGGCCGCCAGGAGGGCCCACTGCAGTGGTGTGTCCTCTTCTTCCTAAGAAGCAACTTCCACCTCCTGTCCCCACACTTCGGGCTTAGATCAGGGGTCCTGAGACGCTAAACTGGGCCCCACGTCCCGCCATCCTGGGACACGAGTGCCTCCTCCCCTGCAGGGCCTGCCTGCCTCACCCCCTTCCCACCAGTGCTGACCTCCTCACCGCGCGGAATACCCAGAACTGCGCGGACTCCCCCTCACCTGCGAGGGCAAAGCCTAAAGAACCGGGCCGGGGGATCGGCCAGGTGTACGATCTGGCGCCCCAGGGCCGTCGGCGATGCCTCCGAGACTGGTGACAATGAAGCTCTGAGCGGCTAGCAAACCGCGGCTAGCAACCAGCCTGGCACCACCTCCTGGTCCGTCACACCGACCCGCCTTTCCTGAGCGCGCCACTTTCGGATTGGCCCTCCGGCCGCCCGCTCTGGCCGTCGCGCTAGCTCATTGGGCTGCTCGGCTGTCCTTTGAGAAGTTCAAGCGGGGGAGGAGCGGCGGAGAGCAGAGGGCAGCGAGCGCCGCGGACTGACGATTGGACGCGGCTGGAAGGGGGCGGACGCACCGCGTAGGCCAGGACCTGCGGCGGGAGCCCGGCCTCCGCAGGCAGGCGGGGCCGGAGGGCTGCCGGGTGAGTTCTGCTGTCGGGCTCCAGTGATCTCCTCCCGAGGGTTTGTCCTCCTGGAGCGGGTGCCCAGAGCCCCCGACCGCAGTGGGCTGCCCTCCCTCTGCCTAGTGAGCCCTTCCCCCAGCTGAGATGGTCTTCCAGCAAAAGTTACATTAAAATAACAAAAGTGCTGACCTTTTCCCATTTCATTAACTTTTTAAATGAAAAGTTTGCTTTAGATATATATAGTGAAGTTCACATTTTGGCATATGCAGTTGTATAAAACACCGCCACAATCCAGATGGAAGACACTACCACCTCCACCCAACCCTGGAGGGGCCTCCACCCAACCCTGGAGGGGCCTAGCAGTCGCCAAACTTGTCCTGGCCACCTGTCCTCCTTCCTACCCCGACCAGTCAGCCGCTTGGCCTTAGCCTGGCTTTTCCCACTGACCTTTTAAAATTCTCTTCTTTTTTTTTTGGTGGAACCGGGGATTGAACTCAGACCCTTGCGCTTGCCGGGCAAGCGCTTATTCTACGGAGCTATCTCCCCGGCCCCTTCCCATTGACCTTTTAAAATTCATACGCATTCTCTGGAGAAGTATTTCAAGCTGCAGGTGCATGCAGCACATCTGTTGCCTCACTCACCCACCAAGGGATACCGCCCTTGCTCCACCTTTGAGCATTGACAGCTCGAGCTGTAGGTATCCTCTCAGGGTCTCTGTGTGAGCACAGGACATCTCTCTGGATAAAAACCTACGAGTGGGATTGCTGGCTTGTGTGGTACTTACTCAACTTTATAAGAAACTGCCAAACTGTTTTCCAAACTTGTGTGTTACACTCCACTCAGCTTTGTTTGAGTTTTAGTATTTGCCCATCCTCCTGGTCACTTCCAGGCTTCCACTCCTCGGAGATACTGGAAATTAAACCCAGGGCCTTCAAACTGAGCTAACCATCAGCTCTTTTATTTATTTATTTAGAGACAAGGTCTTTACTGCATAGTTCAGGCTGGCCTTGAACTCGGGATGATTCTCTTCTGCCTCAGCCTCTAGTCCTGGGATTACAGGCCTGTGTGCCATGCCTGCTTACTCTTTTCGAAGAGTTCTTGCTAAGTCACTAAACTGCCCATGTTTGCCTCCAACTTGTGATCCTCCTGCCTCAGCCTCCTAGAGTGTTAGGAATATAGGTGCGTACCACCATGTCTGACTGGTTTGTACTTTCTAATATCTAATGGATAAAGCTGTTACCCAGCCCAGTAACAGAAAATTTTCTTCCTTTTCTTCTGAAAGTTTGATAGGTTTAGATATTATGTTTAGGTCTGTGGCTTCCTTCATTTTGTGTAGGGCGTGAGATATGGACAAAGATTCTTTTTCCTGATTATTCCAGCCCTTGCTCCTAAAAGGCTGCCTGCCCCTTCTTCATTGAGTTACTTTTGTATTTTTTGATGAAAATGAGTTGACCATATTTGTGTGGTCTCTCAGGGGTCTGCTCAGTTGATTGATAGTATGAGTCTTCTCACCAACATCACACTCTTGTTGTGTGTGTGTGTGTGTGTGTGTGTGTGTGTGTGTCCAGCTCAGCCCACCAGGGGGCGGGGCTGGCTGGCATGTGGTGCTGGGGGATTGAATGGCGGTCCCTGTGCTCTGCTAAGCTTGTTCTAAGTAGGTGCTTTAGACCACTAAGCCATCTCACCAGCCCCAACAACATCACACTCTTGACTAGTGCAGCTTTATGGGAAATCTTGAAATCTGGCATTAGTAATTTTTCAAAATTACCTGGCAATTCTGACTCCTTTAATTTTTCCTAAAACCTTTAGTATCAGCTCTTCACTATATAAAAACCTAGCTGGGTGTGGTGGAAAACACCTGCAATTCCAACACTCCGGAGGCTGAGGTAAGAGGATCACTGTCAGTTTGAGGCCAGCCTGGGCTACAGAATAGGACCCTGTCTCAAACAAAACAAAACAAAACAAACCACTAGCTAAACCTCAATAGAGATCACCTTAAGGCTTAATATGATTCAGGAAGCACTGATGTCATTCATCACGTGGGGCATGTCCCCTGCCCCTCATCCAGGACACCAGCTGAGGAACCACTAGCACCAAGGTTGAAGGTTTTCTTTGCCTCAGAGGTTAATGGTCAAGACAGAACCGCTGGGGAGTTCTACCAAGCACTTGAGGAATGGTACCTATCCCTATTTTAAGACAGCCTTTAAGTGTTTCTCTTCACCATATTACCATTAAAATGTACCTGTACAAAGTGAGAAAAAAACAAGCAGTTCCAGCTTCATGTAAACAGTAGTGTTTATTCACAGTATACATCCCAGAGCTCCTGCGGGGCCTTCTGAGGGCTCATGTTCCACACGCCACCCCTGCAGGTGTATGTACTGCCAGACACTGCGGGGACCGAGCTCAAGAAGGCCACAGGCCACAGAACACCAGACAACCAAGCCCCAGCCCCAGCCCCAGCCCCAGGCACCAAACCACCTCCGCCACAGGAGCTCCAGATGCTGCGACCTCCTGGGGAAGGAAGGCTCTGAGATCAAGATGCCTCCAAAACCATAGCAGCACCCCATGCCTGAGGCCAAGGTGGGCAGGAGTTGCCCTGGGTCCCCAGGTGGCACTTCTGAGCCCTGCCACCTGTCTGTCAGAACTCAAGTCCCCACAGCCAGCCTCTGGCAAAACAGATGCGGGTGAGGTTGGTAGACAGGGACTAGGGGGATCTGGGGCAGGTGAGCCAGAGACCAAGCAGTGAGAGCCGAGGGCTGGGCTCTGCAGATGTGCCAGTGATACCTGGAAAGCCCTGCAGTGGGCAGGCTGGCCTGTGTGAGCCCTGCCCCTTGCCTGAAGAGGAGGCTCTATCCTGCTTGCATGGTCAGGGAGCTGTCCCTTGAGGCATGGTGCGCATGAGACAACTTTGGGGGCACAGACCAAGCCCCTTCCTCGCAGCTACATCCTGTGCTCACTGCTCTCCATGCCGGGCCATGAATAACTGCACCAACTGCCAAGGCTCCTGCACCCAGGCCTCAGTGGCTAAAGGGTCTAGATGGAGTGGGTGGGGTAGGTGGCTGCCAGCAGGAGGTCATGGGGTCCTGGGAGCCACAAACTGCGGACAAGGAGGCCCCTGTATACAGAGAGCCCCATGTGGTCACTTGTTCAAGAAGGCAAAGGCTGACAAATCTGGGCCTGGAGGCTCTGTGGCTGCCGCCCTCTGGGCCCATGTTTGGGGGGCTTGGGGGACCTGGTTGGGTTCCTCTGCTGTAGCCTGAACCCCCACCAGGCGGGGGCAGGCCACCAGCTCCATGCCAGCAAACAAGGAGCCATGGCTCCATGGATAACAGCTAGGGCCATCCTTTGGGGTGTCTGTGTACCCCAAGCCCTGCCCAGGCTGTGCCCCCTGCTCTCTGGAAGCTCCTGGTGGGGTCTCGGCCTTGCTGGCATGTCCAGGGGTTGTGAGGGAGCTGGTATCTGGAGCTGGGGTGAGTGCAGGGCTGCCCGGCAAGACGGGGGTGGAGTTTAGAGGCTGGAGGAAGACCTGGGCCCCAGAGGGAGGCACAGGGCCAGTGAGCAGGTCAGATGGGCCCTCAAGGGTAGCTGTGGGGCTGGACTCGGCACAGGGCCTTAGGGCTGGGGACCGCTGTCCACACGAGGCTTCGAAATGCCTTAAGATCTGGAAGAAAAGCAGAAGTGGTAAGGGCTTCCGTGTACCTCTTGGCGTCATGGCCTGAGGCCTGAGCCTCCCCAGGTCCACCCTCAGTCCACTGCCCAGAGGCAGGATCAGCTTGGGGAGGCCACAGTCACCTGCTGCTGGCCTTCACAGGGCACATGATGTTTCTGCACAGACACATGTCCCCATCCATGTCAACTTCTGGGCCCCACTGAGGGAGCAGAGGGAACCAGTGCAACCTAACACAGATGGTTGCTTCCAGTGCTGACATGAGACTCCCTGTGGCCCCAAGTACCGCAGGCACACTGGGTATGCCAGGGCTGAGGACAAGGCAGGGGTAGACACCACGCAAGGCAGGGGAGCAAGGGAGACAGGGAGCAAAGGAGCTAGTTTTTAGCAGCTGTAGACAAAATGGGAAGACACTGGGGACACTACCAGGTGGATGGAGAGGCCCCTAGGCACTCAGAGGTTCTGAGGAAACGGATACAGATGAAAGGAGAGATTTCTGCTCGCTTGGAGCTGGTCAAGAGGAAGAAGGGCAGCTGTGTGCTTCCTGGTGGAGGCTGCAAGCCTAGGCAAGAGCAAGGGAGCCACTGCCTGGAGGAGCAGCAGCACTGCGTGGAGTGGGCTTAGGGGTGCCAGGAGCTGGACAAGCCCAGGGCGGGCAGGCCCCACCCTGCATCCTCTCTCTGTGGGCACCACCTGACCATGGCAGAGGACTGCTGAGAAAGCCCCATGACTCCCTAGGCCGGGTGCTCACCTTCGTAGCCTTGCTGGTCACAGGCCCAGGGCTGCCCATGCTTAGCTCCTGCAGCCACCGCTGAGAGAGGAGGAAGATGTGCTCCTGGGGAAGAAGGTCGGTGGAACCCAGGGAGGCGATGGCACACAGGGCCCTCTGAAGGTATGGAAGGGACAAGAGTCAGCCCTGGGCACCACTCCATGCCTGTAGGGCAGTGATGCCCACCAGGGCCCCCTCCACTGACCCCTCCTCCTGCTCTGCTCCTCTGGACCTAGTAGAAGGCACCTGGCTGACCCCCCACACCTCCTATCCCCAGCCTCATGATGCCCTCACCATCTGCTCGAGCTCACTGGCTGTGCCCAGCTGGCCGAGGAGCAGCTCCAGCACTGCCTCACAGTTGAGCAGCCCACACCTGCCAAAGGAAAGGACGTGCAGGAGAGGTGTCATATGTGCCTTCTCTCCTCTACTTCTTCAGGTAGAAGTGAGAGGTCACTCACTCTTTTATGAAGTGCTGGGCCTCCTCACGGCTCAGGAAGGCACGGGGTCCCTGTGTCACGGTCCTTACCAGGCTCAGCTCCTGCTGGTAGTCACTCAGAGCCATGGCTTCAGCCCTAGCAAGGGCACGGCCAGGTTAGGACAGCTCTGTCCTTGGTGGAGGGCTGGGGCTGCTCTCCCAGCCCTCCCTGCACTGGGGTGAGCCTGGAGGGCAGCAGCCTGGCTGGAAGACGCCCTCCTTGAGAGCAGGCTACTGACTACTCCACTCACCTTTCTGCCAGGTCACCTGGCTCCCGACTGGTCCCTGAGTGGCTATCACTGCCCGATCGACTGCCTGAGTCTGAGGCCCGGCTCTGGTCACTGTTCCGGGAGGAGCTTTGGGAGCCAGGGCTGCTGTCCAGCTCATCCCAGCCCCCTCCAGCCTGCCCTGGCTGGTGTCTCACAGCTGAGGAAAACAGGGATGGCACCTGAGACCATCAGGGCTTCCATCATCCTCACACCCCTCTGCACAGGTCCTCTGTGACCAAACTGAGGATGGGGAAGCTGCCTGGGTAACAACACCAGAAAACTTCAGGTAGGTATCCCCTGGCCAGCAATGCCCTACCCTTGTCCTGCGCTCAGGCCTGTGTTTCCTGCCCTGTGGTTATCTGCCTACAAGCCACTAAAGCCCAGGGTTTCAGCAAGTGACAGGGGGGTGACCCACAACCCCCTCCCCCCATACCTCGAGAACCTGGGATGACCCCAGGAAGCAGGTTTCCTGAGGCAGGATGGCTGTGGCTCCCTGAAGGTGTCATGGCAGGCTGGTAAGTGTCGCCTTGTGGCAGAGACCTCTGGGTCCAGGAATTCTCAGGCCCAGGGTGCATGGCATTAACCACCACCTCTGCGGCCCTCTGGATGGTGGAGAGGAAAGCTTCACCCGCAGAGCCTGTGACCAAGAGAAGGGGCATGGTGCTAGCACTCCAGAACCGCTCCCAGCTGCCCCAAATTTCCCAGGATAGCAGTGCCAGGGGTGTTCCCTGCTCAGGGCTGGCAAGGCAGGGACATATGCTGCACATACAGAGGAGAGGCCTGCAGCAGGGGTGTCCCAAGAGGCTGTCCTTCACTTAAGGAGTGCTTGTTACAGTGCTGGGAAGGGGCTTCCCTGGCCAGCATGAACTCCCCCCAGATTAAAGTGAACCATGAGCAGAATAATCTGTAACTGAATCTCACAGCACACAATTGGGCCCAGCCTGAGGTCCTGCCCACGGGACAGCTGAAGTGGCTCTGTCCCTGTTGTAGGCTACTTTGTACCACTCCAGCAAGAAGGCTTCATTTGTCCTAAGAACAGACACCCAGATGTGTCACCCCCTCAATTATAGTTCACACACAGGCCTACCCTGAGTTCCTCTGTCATGGCTGGGACACTCCCATTTGGCCCCTCATTGTAGGATTGAGCCCCCACTGCTGGCCAGCCCAGACCTCCACAAGTTGACTTGGCCACACCTGTGTTGCTCTCCTCTTAGAAAGGAGAGAAGGTGGCAGTGGAGAGCATACCAGTGTGGATACGGAGGCCTGCTGACCACCTTGGTCCCCTCCCATCCCAGAGGCTGGGTCAAGAGGTGCCCTCTTACCTGCATGGCCCCGTTCCTTGCTGTAACCAAAACCCTGGAGACTGCTGAGAGGCCTGGACTGGGAGCCCATGCCTAGAAGGACCTGGGCTTCAGAAGGGGCCACCACCCTGGACCCATACCCCACAAACATCCAGCCCCACCCACACAAACCCACCCACCCTGGCCCTGCCCATACAGCCTCACCCACCCCAACCACCCACGTGTGCCATGCTCCGGACTGAAGCAGAGAGAGCAATGGAGGCCCGCTGAGCAGTGTGAGGGCTTCCTACCTGTGGAGGGCAGGGCCCTGGCAGGCTTGGAGGGAGGCAGTGGCACAGCGTCAGAGAATAAGGTACTGCCCAGGTCCTGAGGGAGGAGGTGGAGCTCAGTGAGCCACTGGCTGCTTTCTTGAGCCCTGCCCTATCATTTAGCTCCATCTCAAATGTTTCCTGAAGCCTCCTGGCTGGTCATGGAGCTGTGGGCCAACAGCAGTGGGAGAAGGGCAAATGTTCTGCCAACATCCCAGCATCTGAACCTGGGAGTGACCAGAGCCTGGGCTCACCTGGGCAGCTGCTCGAACTTTCTGGTACAAGCTGTTCCCATGGAGAGGATCTGGGGGTCCTGCAAAAACTGAGGGCAGAAAGGAATAGGCTGGACTGAGCACCTGAGGCCCACTCCTCCCAGACATCAGCTGCCCTGCCCTCACCCCCACAGCTGGCTGGGGTCTCCCTCCTTAGGACCCTGCACAGGCCACACTGGAATAGACCCTGGGAAGCTCCCTTGCCCACCCCATATCCTACCTGAGTTAGGTCACTGTCTACCTAACTGCTCCCACTGGCCCATTCTCCTCTTCCCAGATGCAGTGTGAACCAACCAGGCTTCACAAAAAAATGGTAAACCTAGACTTCTTTTATGGCCTCAAAGGCCCTCCTTGGTCCTGCCTTCTTATCCTGGCCTTTACCTGTGCTAAAAGGTTTCTTTCCTAGAAAATCAGACATTCCTATGTCACATCAAAGGCTTCTGGGCCTTTACATGTGCAGGAGGGCACCACAACACCCCAATGTATGTCTGTTCTACCTCATCCTTTCAGAATTGAGAGTTCCTTCCCAGAAAATCCCTCAGTGGGGACCACCAGCATAGACAAATTTTCCCTTACCCCTCTTGGCAGGTTTAGACCAATCAGTATCCTCCTCCCTACCATCCAAGGCCCTTGGCTGCTTCCCCTGGGTGCACCTGTGCTACCTGCTTATACCTGTGGCTTCCTGGATGAGAGCACAGTTGCGCCTAAGGATGAGCAGGAAGGAGGAAGAGCCATGGCTGCACAGGTAGAGCAAAATCTTCAGCACCTGGGGAGTCACCATGTATGTTGGGCTCTGCGCAGAGCCTGGCCACCCACCACCTGAGCTCCATGCCCCCCCTCTACTCTGGATACCTATAGGCAGCAGCAGGGGCCTGACCAGCAGCCAGGACTCACCTTGAGCTTCACATGGCCAGAACTACTGTCCAAGCGGTTCAGGAGGTATTCCAGTAGGCACTGGCTGCTGCCCACTGATTCATGGGAGATTTCTGGGATGCACTTGGGTTAGGAAAGGAGCAAGCTGATGCAGCCGCACCAGGGTGTGCTGGCTGAGGACAGAGCCTGCCCTCCTGTGATATCCACCTCCTTAGGCCACACTCCTTGCAGCTAACTACATAGGCCTAGCTTTGGAAACACTGGAATTTCCAGGTCTTTGCATTCAGTTCCCTCAAAGCATGAGGGAATTCGCCCACTGCCCTACAGGCCACTGGGACAGCTGGGCTGTATCCAAGGGGCCTATTGCATGCGATCTCAGTTTCCAGACCCCAACCATACCACGTTACAATGACAAAAGAGCTGTGGCTGCCCACAGCAAGGCAGAACCTCCAGTAATCCTGGGTGCTGCACCAGGGTCTCTGCCACCCACTCTGCCCGAACTGGGGATATCAAGGGAGGATACTAGCAATCTCTTCAAACAGGTATCCTGGACATGGGACATCATCGTCTGAGGTTCCCTTCAGGAGAATTGGGAGCTGAAAGGGAACAAGAGCCATAACAAGTCACCTTCTTACAGAGGGTGAGACTGCCTCCACCAAAGATTATAGAAAAAGGCCTTGCTCTCTCTTGACATGCTGGCCTTGGGTGAGACCTGAAAGGGGCCAGAATCATCTTACGGGCCATAGGGGACCACAGGGGACCTGCAGGAGGGTCTCCTCAGTGATAAGTGGCCCCAGGGGACAGGAAAAATCAGTGACAGTCCTCTACCTGGACAAGATGAGGCACAGTCCCAGCCTTCTGCACTTATGACCATAAGGTGATTTTAAGGCACCTTTAATACACCCACTAGGGCTGTGACCCTAGCTCTCATGAACACAGATAGGCAGAAGCAGAACTCAGCTCAAGTAACTCCACAGCTCCTTAAGTACAACTAAGCTGTGGGTTTATGCTCACACATCAGCCCACACTGTTGGCTTTTGTTACCTGCCTGTCAGGAAAAGATACCATTTATGCGGTTGAAAACTGGAAATGCTGTTCTCATATTTTTCAATATCTGGACAGTGGGGGGAGGGGTTCAAGGATATTGAAAATGACAAGTGTGGGGATGGTCAGGTGCTGAGCAGAGAACGCAGTGTGAATGCCAGGCACCTACAGTCATGAATACAGATAAAACGCAACCCGCCCGGGTATTCTGAGACGCGGTGGGCACACACCCGTCAGACATACTGCCTATTTGCCCACCACACCACGAAGCGGGCCTGGAGGAGGGCATAAGGACTCCGCCTGAGCCCTGCCTGGGAATTCAGACATGCTTGCTGTAGCGGCTCCCTGGGCCAGCTGGCCCTAAGGCTGCAGCTTGAGAAGGCTGAGGGCGGTCAAAAAACTTTATATTTGTACTGGCCAGCAGCTAGCAACAGGCCCCAGCTCTTCTCTTGGAGATCTACTAAAACGGGTCTGCCGTTGTCTCTGTCTTAAGGCGGCTTCGCCTGCTACATGGTGTCCTCGGACCCCAGGACCTCCCCGCAACGTGCCCTGTCCAGTGTTCTCCCGCGGTCGGAGCGGGCTCGCCTTTCTCTCATGCTGCTGAATCGCCCCCACTACTCGGGTGAGGTGCCCGGATGCCTGCCAGTCGGCGAGCCGGGGTGTCCTCACTCACCCGGTGCAGGAAGCTCAGGCGATCCCGCAGCGGCGGTGCGGCTGCCATGGTCCAGCTGCCCGCGACCCCCTCCTCCCGCCGGCCTGCCCCGCTTCCGCCAGGCGCAGACTCTCCAATCATCGTGTGGCTCTGGCTCCAACAGCCAATCGCTAGTTGTAGGCGGGCCTTGACGTCGGCTTCGTGAACAATTTAAGCCTGAACCAATCTGAAGTCCAAAAGAAGAGACAGACAAGGTTAACAACCAATTGTAGTGCTACAGGCAGGTACTACTGGCCAACCAGGAAGAGTAAAAAGGTTTATGGGCGGAAACGCAGGGTGATCAAGCAATAGATTCCGGAAGAGGACGGACCTAAGATGGCGGCCTCCGTAGGTACCTGAAAGGACTTCTCATGTCAGCGAACGGAGCGGTGTGGCAGCGCGTGCGGAGCCGTTTCCGCGCTTTCCCAGAGCGCCTGGCGGCTTGCGAGGCCGAGGTGAGGGGCCGCGCCCACAGGGTAGTAGGAAGGGCCAATCGGGCCTGTGGCCGGGCGAGAGGTAACAGGAGGGCAGGCGGTGGCCGCCGCCAGGCTTCCATGACCGCACCCGTGCCTTCGCAGGCCGTGGCGTATGGCAAGTGCGTGCAAGCCTCCACCACCCCGGGCGGTCGCCTGAGCAAGGACCTTTGTGCGCGAGAGTTCGAGGCCCTGCGGAGCTGCTTTGTTTCTGCGGTAGGTGGGCGCTGCCCCCTCCCCTGTCCTTCCCGAGGGTAGCCTGCGGCCTGCCTCACCTTTCCCGCTGGCTCAGGGTGTTAAGCCTGCTCAGACCTGGCAAACAGCGTAGTCTCTGCCTTTGTAAATCGAGGATCCCGCTGACCTCAGGAAGGCCCAGTGGTGATGTAGCGGGAAGCTCTCTCGTAAACTTCGGCACTGTCGCCAAGGGCAGGACCCGGATCCCGGACCCTGAGCAAGCCCCCAGCACCTCTCAGTTTCTACTCTAGTGGGGCCCCTCGGCACCTGCTAGTGGCTCTTGACCTGCCAGGCACACCCTTTCATAGAGGAGAAAACAGTATTTATAGGTTCTACGAAAAATCTGCAGAGAAATGGGAGCTGGTTCTCATTGAAGCATCAGAAGGTTGTGGTGGGAACAGTCCTGTTCTTGGTTCCAGATTGGTTCTGCCTCTGACCCATCCAATATCAAGTCCTTTGTGTTTTTTAGTCACAGTATTGTCAGGTCTGTGCCTTACGGGTTGTGCCACCAGTGAAAACAACATACTACTTGTGAAAATAGCCACATACTATGAAAGAGAGAGACCTGTGTGAAGTGTGAAGGCCTTAGAGAGAGTAGCATTTTTGGAGGCTGGGGGAGATGGCCATTATCAGTGGTCCTGCACAGGACCAGGAGCGTGCCACCTCCAATGGGTCTTTATCCACAAGGGTCTTGGGCTGTCATTCTGAGACCAGTTCCCACAGTGTCATTATCACTGGATCCCACCTGGAACACCCCCGATTCAGTGGGTCACCTGTTTCCAGGGAGATCCTCATGAGAACTGGACTGGGGGAGGGTAGTTGGACAAGAACTAAGAGGAGTCTGAAGCAGTTTCTTGGTGCTCCAGGATTGCCCTAAGCAGAATGGCAGAGTACGTGGTATGCCTGGTCCTTTCAGTCTTGTACTCATTTTCTGGAAGGCTGGGAAAGCTCATACTTCCCTTGTGGTAGTTGTGGCCAGAGTGGGTCCTTCATCGGAAGTAGCACTTTTTTGTTCTTTTGACCTACTTCCTGCCTTTTAAGAGCTTCCCAACTTTCAAACTCTATGAGGGGAAAGGCAGGCAGATTTTGCCTTAACTCCAGGGTTCAAGGCTAGCATCTTGCAGGAGCACTTGTCTGAGGGGACAATCTCCATACGCATAAGTTTCTGTTCACCACCCTATCCATCGCCAGGCACAAGTTAACTATCAGGTATCTGGCCATCTGTGACCCCTTCCTCCCTTACATTCTTTCACCTGAATCAAATAAAGACCTTCAGGATTCCCTGCCTAGCACCTAGGAGAACCTTCCTCTGTCAAGGGAGCCCTCTAATGATGGACCAAGCTCACCTGGAACCCTCAAGTCTTGCTCAATGACAAACCTCTCCTCCCCATGACTCACAATGCACTTGAGGAAATGGTACAGGCTCTGTGCTCAGACTCCCACTTCATCACATGAGCACTGTCTGCTAGACAGACAACTTTGGCATCTCTGAACGTCAAGTCTCCTTTGAGAGAAGAGGCTCCTCCACCCTTGGCAACAGCATGGGACCCAGTGCAGTATATAGGGGCCTGCATGGAGTCTGCTGCAGCAGTGAGCTCTGTGCTGGGGCCCCTAGAGCTCCATCCAGCCTGGTCTTCTGCCACACACCAGCTATCAAGTTGTAAGATGTTTGGTTGGATAAGGCATTTTGTGTACTAGCTTTCTTATTTTTGAGCAGTACTTAGAAATAAGCAGCCCAAGGGCAGGCAAGATAGCTCAGTGGACTAAGCACTTGCTTAGGCAAGTGCAGGCACCAGAGTTCAATCCCTAGTACCACATGCCACACCAGCCCCACTCCTGGGGCATGCTAAGCCAGCCACTGAGTCCACCATGCCTGTAATCCCAGCACTGGGGAGGCTGAAAACAGGAGGATCACTAAGAGTCCAAGCTCCATAGTGAGACTCTGTACCAAATACATTTAAAAAAGAAGAAGAAAAGAAAAAAAACAGTAAGCATTTCAGACAAAATGCTTTATTTTTCAGGCCAAGAAGAGCCTGAAGGGAGGCTCCTAGGAAGGACCTGAGCTCTGACCCTTGCATCTACCACTCCTGTAGACACAGGTGCCACGTGGGGATGGTGCCCATGGACCGCTGTGCAGGCTGAAGGAAGTGGGAGTGGCCAAGTTCTCAGGGTCACCTTGTACATTGGGCAGGATGAGAATTTGTTCTGTAGCACTGTGTGCAGAACAGTCTGAGTTAGATTGAGATGTAACCAAAACAGCAATAAAGACTGTTAAATCTTACTTGGTTTTGTGTTTATTGTATACTGACTGTTCTATACTGGGGGCCTCACCTCTCCCATGGACAGTGGGTCCTAGTCCCCCTCTACTTTGACAAAGCTGGTGGGTCTGGGCTTTGAACTCTGCCACATCACCCCCAGTTAAAGATGTGCTCACCAAAAATACATAATCTAAATCTCATGAAACCATTAGACCAAAAGGCCCATGTCTAGGATATGCTAAAAATAAAAGACTAGCAATACCCTGAGGGGGAATTCCACTTTGCGGACAGCTCTTCTGACTATCAAGCCACAGGGCTGAGCTGTGCAGAAGGTCCTGGCACAATCAGGCCCTCCACACAGGCATAGCCACCTCCAGCAGCCTACCCTTGCACCCAGAGCCCTGGTCTGGCATGGGCAGGTCCTGGCCTCTTACTCCCCCAGTCCAAATCCAGTAGTGCTTCACACCACAGAGGGGGGACATGGGGATTCCACAAACCTGAGTGTCATTTGCTGGGTGCCATGGGGACTACTGAGTCCTTCTCCTTTCTGACTGTGGAAGTCGCAGCCCGTACCTGATCAGAGGCGCAGGGCCAGGGCCACAGGTTCACACACTGCACTGTTGAGCCGCAGTCTATTTAATTTTTTGTGGGGTTTTTTTTGATGGTACTGGAGATTAAACTCAGGACCCTGCGCTTGCCAGGCAAGTGCTTATTCTATTGAGATATCTCCCCGGGCCCACTTTTGTTTAATTTAAAACAATCTTTTATTTGGTACAGGGTCTTGCTATGCAGCTTGGACTTGTAGTGATTCTCCTGTCTCAGCCTCCCCAGTGCTGGGATTACAGGCATGTTTCACCATGCCCAGTTTTGGTGGCCCACAGCATACCCAGCACGCATGGCATGCAACACTGGGGATCGAACCTGAGTCCATGTGCTTGCCATGCAGGTGCTTAGACAGCTGAGCTATCTCCCGAGCCCAGCAATCTGTTCTCTCCATCATCTAAATGCAAATCAAGAACTGGCCTGACTTCCCTAGTGCTGAACCACACGTCTGTGCTACGCACCATGAGCTGTTTCAGAGGCACATGTGACTTCTAGGACTGTGTGGGGGTTCCTTTGTGCCAAAGCCCAGAACCAGCTTGTGAACAGCCAGGCAGGGCAGTGCCAGGTCTGACAGGACCAGAATGTGCTCATGTGGCCTTGGGTGGAGCCCATCCGTCCTGGAGCCACCACAGCTGAGCACTGGGGCAGGTAGTAGCCCATGTATCTCAAGAGCACTAACTGCCCAGGGTGCAACCCAGGTCCAGGCCTCGCAGGACAGGCACCCGCCCCCAACCTGCCTGAGCCTTTCTACTGCTCCTGCCATGTTGCTCACTGGAACTTCTTACCAAAGACTTCAACTTTTTTTTGAGATAGTCTCACTACATAGTTCAGGCTGACTTTGAACTCACTACAGAGCCCAGGCTAGTCTCAAACTTGTGATCTTTTTGCCTCCGCCTCCCTAGTACCACGGGTGTGCACCACCATGCCCACCTTCCCTGGAGACCTCCAGTCTGGTCCCTTGGGACTCCCGTGCAAGCCCCTTCAGACAGGCAGGTGCTTGCCTCTCACGTCTGCCTCTGCAGTGGCAGATGGGGCCACCACTTCTCAGAGCCCATGTGGCCTGGGCTCTAAGCTCAGCTCTCAGGCTTCCTGGACCCTACTCTGGTGGGCCCCATTACCCCAAATTTCCTCCCAAAGCTCCCTTGGCCTTGATTCCTGCCCTCCTGTTCAGATCCCCCAACCCAGCCCTCAAGAGTGTGGTCTTGATATGGATGTGGCTGTCAATGGGTAGCAGAGATGGCTTCAGCAGCCCTGTCACTGTCTGCGCCTCTGCTGCCACCACATGGCCTCATGAGGTGGGGCCTATACACCTCTCAAAGGCCCACAGGGGCTCCTGGATAAGACCTCAAGCTCCCTGAAGGCGCTGGCCCCCTCAAGGCCCAGTGTGCAGGGTACCCTCCAGCCCTATGGGAGCTCATTGCTGCTGACTGGCCACACTGCTGTTCACAGGGGTCTCAGGCAGGCTGGGCTGCGAAAGGGTACACCTGGACCCGTATGCTGCTGACAGCAACTGACCAGAACTGTAGCCTACAGGGAGTTTCTGAGCTCAGGAAGCAGATTACTGTCCAGAGGCCCCCAGGTTTCCAGGGGTGACTTTTCTTCCCCATGGGGCTGTGGCCTGGGAGGGGCAGAGTGGCTGGCATGGAGAGGGGGTGCTGAGGGACAGCTGGGTCAGGGCCACTTGTGTCTGCCTACTGCCTGCTCCAAGGTTACCTGGAGAACAGAAAACAGGATGACATCCAAGAGGAAATTGAACCCAGGTCTGGGATTCAACAGCATCAACCAGAGCGCAACCCCACGGGCCTGGTTCCTTTCGTGGATGGCTTCTTTAATCAAAAACACAGGGTGCAGCTGGCACGGTGGCACATAGCTGTAATCCCAGCACTCTGGAGGCTGAGGCAGGAAAATTACAAGTTAGGCCTAGCCTAGGCAACTTAGTGAGAAAGTCTCGAAACAATATAAAAACCTGAGACCCAGGCCCCCTGGCTAGGTGTGTCCCTCCTCTGAGCTAAGCAGGTGTGCATCAGGAATCACTACTCAGCCTGCAGACGTGCCCACTCCTCCCAGTCGTTGTCCAGCTGCAAGATACTGAGTGCGATGTGTGAGGAAATAAATTACAATTAGGACTTCATCAGATCTAGGGAAAGTGGGCCAGGGCTCCCTGAAGTGTTCACAAACATGGTTCTCCTGTGGCCTTGGTGTTAGGACTAGAGCACAGGCCAGCCCCTTGTGCCCTTACCCTGTTTTTCTCAAGCCCTCTCTGGCCAGAGCCTATCCAAACCAGAGTACCCTACATGGCTGAGGGACAGCACATCCAGCTTTGTCCTCACCTCAGGAGCAAGGCCCTGGTGGCTGCACTGACCAGCACAGCAAAAGGAGGCTGGCCTGAGGGGCAGCACAGGCTTTGGCCCTGAGCCCACAGAGGAAGGGCAGACACAGCATGTGAGTATGAGTTGCTGCTACACTGGGTGTGGTGGGGTACCCCTGTAATCTCAGCACTCGGGAGATGGAGGCAGGAGAATCACTGAGTTCAAGGCCAGTCTGGGCTACATAGCAAGGCCCTGTCTCAAAAAAAAATTGCTGCAACTTCCAACACCTGGCAAGATGGAGGCTTGCCCCATCACAGGTCAGGCCAAGCCCAAGCACCAGGCACCCTGGAGGGTCCTTCTGGGGCTACACTTACCTGGTTTTCAAGTCCTGTGAGGTCTGGATTGGGGTACTGCTCCCGTGTCCCTCACTGCTACCATCTAGAATCCTAAATTTTCCTTTAGGAATTAACTCATGAACTTGACTCACCAGGCATCATCGTTTTTATTTTTTATTTCAATAGTTTTATTTCAAAGAGCAGACCCCAGCGCATGTGCAGGCCATGAGGCCTGTGCAGCAGAGAACCGACTGTCCATGCCTTGTAGATGCCAAGGCCTGGAGGAGGGCACAGAGCTTGTGGGGCGTGCCCCTACGCTCCTGGGACAGCAGCAGTGTTGGGACTATTCCTGGGATGGAGGTTCTCACAGAGCCCCAGGGTGGCCCAGCTCTGGCTTTGTCAAAGGTGCGCTGCAGGCAGTGACACAGCTCTCCTCAGAGGAGTCAGGCCCCAGCGCCACTCCACTGAGCCGCTTGTGGGTTGCATGGGCTCGGGGTACAGGGACAAGTAACGCTCAGAGCAGGTGGTGACAGTTCGGCCTTTCAGATGCCACGGCACTTGGTGAGGGTCTCACATACACATCCCTGGGGGTCAGCCATGTTCAGCCAGGGTAAGGCCAGGGAGGCAGCTGCTCACAGGACAGAGGCCCTCACTGGGCTGCCGCTGTGAGCGGGTGCTCAGGCCTCCTCGGGAGCTGTGGGCAGCTGCTTGATCTGCCGGCTGTGGACTACCTGCAGCGCATTTCCAGCAGCCTGGCGGAGCTGGGTGTCCAGGGCACTGCGGAGGTCATTGGCTGAGATGTCTGGGAGTTGGTTAAAGGTGATAATGACCCCATCCTTGGGGGACGGTTCACCCTCTGGGTGAGGGGGAAGATCCCGCCGCCGCCTCCGAAGATCAGAGCCAGCTTGCAGTTTCAGGTCTCGGTTGGACTTGGCGTTGTCTGGCTTCTGAGCCTCAGGTACCGTGAGTCTGGGCCCAGACTCAGGGTCTGATCTCTGCCTGGGCTCTTGGATAGCAGCCTCTTTCCCAGCTCTAGGCTGCTTCTGAGGAGTGGGCGTGTGGGTCTCTCCAGGGGACTCTTGTTTGGTCTCTAGGTGACCACCCTGGCCCCCATCAGAAGTGGGCTGAGGATTCTGCTGACCCAGTCCAGCCTGGGGCTGAGGGACATTCACAGCAGGTACTAGGTCTGATTGCTTAGATTTCACAAGGGCATCCTCAGCCTCTGCACCTGCCCCTGCCATGGCCCTACCAGCTTCATTCTGAGTGTCGGCTCCAGGGCCTGCTGCTTTCTTTCTGATTTGCTTATTTTCTTGGGAACCTCTGCCAAAAACATCCTGGTTCTTCCTGGGGACTTCCTCGGCAGGGTGTTTCTCTGAGCTCCCAGGTCCCCTCGTGGGATCTGGCTTGGGCACTGCCTGTGGGTCCTGGGCCAGCGCCTTCACGGCCTTAGCCACCTCAGCCACAGCACCCTTCTGGTCTTTGCTCAGCTTGGCCTGGGCTGCCTGGGGCTCTGTGTCAGGAGGACCAGCTGGGTCTCTTCCCACAGCCTGCCTGGGCTCCTCCAGGGAGTGCTGACCAAGCTCTTGGGGTAGAACAGGCCGGTTCCCCAGACCATCCATCACGGGTTCCACAGGCTGCGGAGGGGGCTTCTCCACTAACTCCCCAGCAGGCTCGTCCCGAGCCTCCTCTTGACCTCTGGGGACAGCCACTCCAGGCTCTGGCTGCATGTCCCCTGCAAACAAAGTTGATATTCAGTTTAGCTACAGAAATGAACACAAGCTGCTAATGCAGGAACTGAATGGAACAAACTTACAAGCAGTTAAGAGTTACAAATCAAAACCTAAATTCTACCAAAGTTTGGCTTCAGCCTACAGGGACACCCGGAGACACCTTCACCGGGCCCAGCTCCTGTCACTTCCCTAGGCCAGTGCCCACTGCCAGCTCTGGCCCACCCTGCCCATGGCCCACCTACCCTGCCGGGCCTTGTCCTCCTCGTCCTCTTGCCGCTGCTGGTGGATCTCCTTGTGCTGCTCCTCAATCACAGCCAGCAACTTCTCTTGCTGGTCCAGCAGGCGCTTCTGCTGCACCTGCTGCTCTTTGATCACCTGAAGCAGGACGGCATGGTCCAGCATCTCTGCCCTGCCAGCTTCTGCTAGGGACAAACAAAGCAAAGATGCACAACTGCCCTCGCGGAGCACTGCAATGTGGGCGCAGCCGCCCACAGAAGCCTACCTGTGAGAGCCCACACTGGCAATGCTGTCTCAGCACCCTGCCTATACAAGCACACAGCAAGGTATGTGCCCAATCCCCAGAGCCTGGGTCCCAGGGCAGCGTGCTGGGCTGGCAGAGCCGGGTGCAGCCTCCTGTCTGCTCTGCTGCTAGGGTTCCACCAAGCAGGAGGCTCAGCCAGCCTCAGATGCTGTCCAGTGCTCACTGAACACACGAGTCCAGAGACCACGCACAGGACCTATGCTAGCACACCTGTGACGAGTCTCTGGGCTGGGTGATTTCCCCCATCTCACGTTTAGTTGTTCTAGAGCAAGTATAAGAAAATAAAGCAATTATGTGGGAAAACAATATTCATACTTGAAGAAAGTTTTCTCTAGGCCAGGTGTGGGAGTGAATCCCTATAATCCCAATTCACTCAGGAGGCTGAGGCAGGAAGATAGTGAGTTCGGTGCCAGCTGGGCAATAAGAAACAAGATAAAGGAACACACGAAAGGAAAGGGGAAGGGAAGAAATTTCTTCCAAGATGAGAATTGAAAAAGCAAAACTGATGTTCCTGTTCCCTCTTCTTTCCCTTGCAGTACTGGGGGTTGTCCCAGGGCCTTCCATAGGCTAGGAAAATGGCCTTCCTCTTCAGAGAGCAGAGAGCAGGACACGAGCGAGGCCTCAGCCAGAGGTCAGCACATGATGGCCAAGATGTGGCTCCTGACCACCCCCAGGCCCTGGCAAGTCCTGCCAGAGGGGAAGCCACACACCAGTACCCAAGGGGAAGGGGCAAACAGCTGACCAGTTCAGAGAAGGGAAGTCCTTATAGGCAGCTCCTGCCTGATGGGACTCCCTGCGGACAGAGCACAGGGGTGGCACACCTGGATTGCCAGGTGCAGAGGGAGCTGGCTTTACTACAGTCTTCTAGCACCAGGCCAGCTGTGTGCTGCAAGCAGCCACAGCATATGCAAGTTTTACAACTCTCATTATAAAATCAGGAATCTTTGAAAGACAATGGGTTAGGGCTGCCAGGTGTACAACTTCAAGTCAGAAGGAAGAACATTGGGCAAGCAGTGAAGATCCCAGAGATGGCCCCGTATGCCCTGCACAGACTGATGGGCAGCCAGAGCAATTTGGGTCCGCATTCCCTCACACGCACACTCCCAGGGCCTTGTCCAGATCCCAAGTGGCCAGGGCAAGGACACACAGGCGGTGGGCCAGTGGAGAGGACTCTGGAGCTGGCTGTGCGGAAGAAGGGCAGCCTGCTCCCTGCAGATGGCAAAGGTGACCCAGACCCCTGCTTGGGAAAGTCCACTTATTTGAGACAGGCTCCCACATACTCCCCTGTAGACAAAGAGCTTGGAGCGCTGAGCTCTGAGGCTCAGGCTGGCCACCTCAACCCTCAGTCCCAGAGTTATAAGCATATAGTCATTTGGTACAAAGATGGTGCCCACACACCACTGGCCCCTCCCACCCTAGATGCAGATCCTAAAGAGCAGGCCCCACTTCACCTGCTCCTCTGAAGACTAGACCTGGTGGGGGGAAGGAAAGGTACCATGTCCAGCTAGAAGCCTCATGGGACAGATGTGAACTGTGAAGGTGACAATCTGTCCAGGTCAGAGTCTCTAGGGCCACTGGCAGGCACACAGGTGGGATGCTAGGGTGTGTGTGTAATGTACAAGCACAGACCATGCACATGGCAGCAGGGACATGCGGGCCCCCCCATCTCTGACTCAGTGGTACATTAAGCATCCCTGCTGACAGACATCTTCAGCTGTCCTCTGAAGAAGCAAAACCACGGACGGCTGTGAAGAACTGAGGCATCTGTAAGGGAAGGCATGCGAACTGGGTCCCAGGGACCCCTGGCGCAGGCAGCGTGCACACATGCGTGCATGCATGCGGGCCAGGCACCGTGGGCACACCTTGCAGACCTCCACAGCGCACTTCCCATCTTGACACACTCCTTTTGAGCCATACCTGCTACTATCTTTTTAATTTCAGCTGTTCATCCCGTTGAGGCATAAGGAAGAAAGGCAGAATAGGAAGCCGTGAAAAGTCTCTTTTTCAGAAAGAAAAACATCAAAGAATCACACAGGTTTAGGTAACAGTATAGAAATTAGAACCAATTAATATAGTGAAGACTAAAACCAGAGGCAAAAATACTAAGTGTGGGAAAGTTTCCCAGATAACTTGTGAACTCCAGAAGCCTAACACCTCCCTATAGATTCTGCCTCCTAGGACTTTAGGGGAGGGGCTCAGGCCAGAGCTGCTGATCACACCTGGAAAAGTGGTCCAGAGAGCAAACCCAGGCATCTTAACGCCATGGCAAACCCTAAACCATGAGGCACAGCTGTTCCAGAGGCAGCCAAGCCAGTGCCCGGGCATGGCCAGGAGAACTGAGCAGCCCACACCCCACACACCAGGGCAGCATCAGGCTTCCCAGCACCCAAGTGCAGTGGCTGTGTCCTGAAGGAATGGTGACACATGATAAAGCCCAAGTCTGTGGGCTCACCAAAGAAAATTGGATGAGTGATCACCAGCGAGGTACTGGGGCAGGACAGGGGGCAGTAAAAAGGGGGCATAAAAAGTCAAAGGAAGGCCTGGTGTTTGATTCCCAGCATCACAGGCTGTGCCAGCCTCATCCCCAGGCCTGCTGAGCCAACCACCAAGACCAGGTGTAGTGGTACACAGCTGTAATCCCAGCACTGGGGAGGCTGAGACAGGAGGATAACTACAAGTCTGAACTGCATAGTAAGACTCTGTACCAAATACACTAAAAAAAAAAAGCCAAAATAAGACACGAGGTTTAGAGGATTCAGGACAAGGTGCAGGCAGTGAACTTCTGGTGGACAGGGGCTGGACATGCCTGCAGAGGGGCAAGCTGGAACTCCTGGGCTGGGGCTCCCCAAGGGACACCAGTTCATCCCCCAGCCTGAAGAGTTTCAGCAGCTGGGTGCACTAAAGCCCCACACCTGGCTAGCTTTAAATGCCCCGAGTGTTGGAAATATTAACATACCTGCTTTAAGATGAAATAAAAATGCTAATTAAAAGTCATATGACAGAGCAACAGATTTTTTAAAAAAGAGTTGGAGAAAGGGATATTAAAAAAAATGTTCCTAAGGGTGTACTAGCAAGAAAGTTGCCGGCAGGAGGCAAAAGGGAGTCACTGAAGATGCTTTGGAGTCGGGTCAGGAAACAGAGAAGAGCCCAAGTTGGGAGAGCTCCAATCCCCACCCCCCACCCGGGCCAGGCCTTACCCTCCAGCTTGCTGCCTGTCTGGTCTCCACCGGGCTGCTCTGCCGCCGCCGCTGCCCGCTCTGCGTCCCGCTGCTCCCGCTGCTCCCGCTGCAGCCTAGCCCCAGGAGGCGGCCTCTGTGCCGGGAGGGGCACCTTCCCACCTGCACACACTCGGGGACTCAGGTTTTGCAGAAAGGCGGGGGTTGGGGGGAGACAAAGGAGGCAGCAGATGTCTCCTAAAATGACTCTCTGTTGCCCCCACCACTACAGTTTATATTCAACCTGATGATTACCAGGGAAGTAATAAAAAAATATTTAACAATCTCATAGGCTCGTGGCAGTGAGCCAATGTTAACTACCTTCGCCAATTAAAATGCAAGCCCTGTCCTAACCAGCTCTTAGACGGGCACTTAACAATGTGTTACCTGTCAAGCGCTCCCGCACCATCCCCGTGCGCGCCTAGACACACGAGAACAGCGTGGCACCTGACATTTAGTGGTCTGGCAAACAACTGTGTGACAGATATTATAGTAGCTGTCACGCCACCAGACTCTTCGTTTTCCCCACCAGCTGCTGAAGGGGCTGCTACATTCACATGCTAATCTTGTGGAATGGGCAAGGGATGGGACAGAAGTAAGAATAATCAATTCTTCCTGCCCCCACCCCCAACACCCTGCCAGGGAGGCTTCCCACAATGAGCTGACACCCACCAGGGTCACTCTCCACGACGTTCCCAGTGTCCCCTGCTGCACCATGCATGGCCTCTTCCCCTTGCCTTGCTGCCCTGGTGTTTTCCGCTGAGAGGGCTACCCGGGGCCCAGGATCAAGACCTGCTCCCGGGTCCTCCTTCCTGGCCTGGAAAGCAGGCTGACCATTTGCCTCTGGGACCTTCTGGTGGTCTTCAGGAAGACCCCCCACGGCTCCTAAGGGCTGGGCCTGTTCGGGGCTCTTCCCAGCCTCTCCCCTCTCCAGCTTCTTCTCTCTCTCTGACTTGGGTAGAGGTGGCGCCAGCTGCCCCTTGCCCCCAGGAGCTCCTCCAGCTGTGTGTCTAGAAAGCAGCTTGTTCTCTTCCAGTCTTTCTCTGTCTTGACCTTCATCTACCACCACCTTGTCATGAGGAATGGGAGGCTCATGGCGGTGGGCCTCACCCATTAGGACAGCAATACCTAGAAGGGGATGAGGACAGTTGGGGAGCCAGGCTGAGGAAGGGAGTCCCCACTTTCTCTTCCCTAGGAACCTGCATTCTGGTTCCTGACAGTGTGACACAGGCCAGCAAGCACCACTGCCCACTGAGTCCAAGCTCGCCTGGCTGAAGAACTATTTCTGGAGTCACGAGAGGCACAGCAGTGCAGCAGCTTTGCCAGGGGAAGGGGAAGATGAGGAAGGCAGACGGCATGCAGCCCTGAGCATCTCAGCAAGCTGCTGGAGCCTTTTCCCTGCCCCTCAGCCCCCAGTGCCACACACCCTGAGCAGGGCGATCCAGCTGTGCAGCCTCCTGCTTCTCGGCGGCCTCCTCCCCACCAGGCACATCCACAGGGCCCTTGATCTGCGCTGGCTCCAGCTCTTCTTTCTCCTCCAGCAGCTTTGGTTTCTCCCGGCCATCCTCAGCCACATCCACGACAGGGTTCTGGGCTGGAAGCAAAGCACAGAGAGCTGCCCATGCCTCCCCATAGCCACCAAGCAATCAGCACAGGCCCTGGCGTTCCCCTGGGTGATCAGATTTCCTGGCCAAATAGCAGAGCCTAACCAGCCATTTCTTCTGCTCAATTATTAGCAGCTAAGCAGCACAAAAAACTGTCATATTTCAACTGTAGTCATAACAAAAATATGTCAAAACGCAGTTTATACTTAGGTACAGGCCACAGCATGTAATACTCAGCCGTGACCACCAGGGGGAAGCACAAGCTCACTGAAGAGCTGCATTTCCCAAGGGGCTCCTTTGCAAGGGCCTCCATCCCAAACCCCCTCCTGGAAGGCTAAGTATAGGAGTGCTATAAGGGAATAACATTAGCAGTGTGCACTTGCAATCCTAGCACCTTCTTACTGCTGATGGGGGAAATCCACACCAAAAGGATAAGAACAAAAGGGGAGCCAGTGAAGCTGGCCACTCTGGAGCTGTGTGGCCCCAGGGGAGCCATGCAGCCCTGGCTCTCTGTTTAAAAAGACCACTTTCTATGTGTGGGGTGAACACAACAGAAACAAAACCAACCTGGGAGAAAAACAATGTTGGAGAGCAATCATCTCACCTCTGAGGCCCAAAGCTACCTCTGTACCTCTTCCTCAGCCTCAAACTGCCCTGGAAGTGGGGAGGGCTAAAGTGGCCACAGTGGCCATAGGGCCCAGGAGGCTGGGACGAAGGGAGTGACACACAGCCCTGCTGGAACAGCAGATGGGGTCTGACAACCTCCCAATAGGGGAGACCACCCCAGCTTGGCATCAGCCTGGGGCGCCTGACCTGGCATCCTAGGGGAGACAGAACCCTGCACAGATGGGATATGCTTTGTCTACGAGCAGCTGAGGTTTCCAGGCAAACCAGAGGCTGGTGTCTCCCCACTCGTGACAGGCAGGCAGCCCACAGAGGGCAGCCTGGGCTCCCCAGTGTGACCAACTGCCCGGCGTGGCTGCACTCATGTGTACCACTCAGTTACTGCCCTGACGGAGGGCCCTGTGTGTAAGAACTGGCCATAAATCAGGAGGGTCTTCCAGCCCCTGCAGAGTTGAGAGGGTGGAGAGGTGGACAATGAAACATCCTCCCCAGGACAGGATCACCTCTGACAGTGGCCTCAGCAGGAAACAAACCCCATGCATTACTGGATAGGAAGTGCCTGTGGCTCCTTGGGCATCAGGGCTCAGCCCAGTGCTTGGGGACAAGGGCAGTGCAGCTGGTAGTGCCCCCTGCATAGGACAGGTAACATGGGTAGTGTTGCCCTGAGGTTCCTCTGGAAATCCCCCAAGGAGCACCACTGGACTCCCAGGCACAGCCTGAGAGGCCACAAAGGCCTTTTGGCTCACACCTTACAGCAGCCCCCTCAGCCTGGCACTTTGTGGCTGTTGGCTGGCAGCGGGCACAGCCCTTTCCAGAACAGAATCAGACTTTCATCAGGGACAGCTGGCTAGCAATGCCTCCTAGCTACAGCAAAACTAACATAAAACTTCAAAAATCAGTGGCTAAGACGACCCTTGTGTTCTCTGCCTGCTTCCAATCCAAAGGCAAGCGTGCACCAACCAGCAAGGTCACAGCCAGGAGCCCCTCGGAGAGCGCAGAGAACTTAAGGAAGGAGAGGCGGGGGCCACCACCCACTGTGGGTCTGCCAAAAACCGTGCACAAGGGGATGGAGAGCATCCTGGCTGCCCTGAACTTTATGGCCACGGGAAACCATGGCCTGTCAGCAGAAACAGGAAAATTCCACATTTACTCTGCATCCTCCCCACTGCTGGAGGGACAGCACAGGTGCTCAGCTCTTTCCACACATGGGAATGCTGACCTGGTGTCAAGTCTTCCCTTTCTTCCTGGGGCCAGCAGGGGCAGAGGGTGCCCCAAAGGCTGGGGAGCTGTGGCTTAGAATCCCATCTCTGGAGCTAGACACTTTCAGGGTAGTACACTCCTTAAGGGGAAGAGGCCAACATCTATTGTGGCCAACCACTACCCTGAAGCCAGCCTCTATTCCCGAGGACAGGCAAGAGCAGCCTGGATCGCAGGTGGGGCCCCTTCCCTGGACAGCTTTGCTGGTGACTGGAATTGCCTGCTGCTGCTATGTATCTTGTGGTCGGTAAAGGTGGGAAGGGTCACCTCCCACTGCCAGCCCCAAAAGCAGCAAGGCTGAAACACAATCCGTGTGTCCCACTGACAAGCTCCCACCTGTAGTGAGAAGCATCTCAGATTCAGGGGCTTAGCGCCTCAAAGCGCCCTGCCCAGGGAGCAGGAGCAACTACTCTGATGGTTTTCTAAAAATCAGCCCGTTTTAGGTACCTTTCACAATATATCTGGTTTCTGCCCTGCGGAAACAGTTATTCATTAAGAGCTTGCTTAAAAAACCCAGAGTTCTGCACTCAGCTGCTAGGCCTCACCACTGCATCTCTTGCCACAGAAGGACAACAGTGACATCCTGGTACCCAGAGGGTGCAGGCAGCCCCATGGCCAACAGCAGTATTGGGCATCGGGAGATGCTGCTTGCTCCTCCTCAGAGGTGGGACTACGGCCCCACATCACACAGGCTCTATGCAGGCTAGCAGCTGCCAGAAAGCAACATCCCTTCTGGTCCCTCATGGGGACCTTTCGGCACGCAGTAAGTCCTGCAAGCCTGGCGTGGTCATCTCCGATGGCACGGGGGAAATCAGAACCAGCAGGGAAACTGAATGAAAACTCTACCAGGAGCAGAGGCACATGGAGCAAAGCAGCTTTAAAAACTTGCTCAGTAGCCAGTAAGGCTGAAGCAAGAGGACTGCCCATTCAAGCTCAGCCTGGGGGACAGCCTAATGACTGAACAAGACCCTGTCTCAAAATAAAAAATAAAGAAGGGCTGGAAATGTAGTTCAGTACAAAAGCTGCCAGAACTGCCAAAAACCAAAAACACAGCCTACTCAGCAAGGCTCAAGGGAGACCCACCAGGATCACACTGCCCTGCAGGTGGGAAGGGAAGCATGTGGTGCTGGGATGAGGGGCTCCGAGCCCTCCTATACTGCAGGACAGAGGGCGGAGTGGGCAGCAGTGGAGGCTGAGGCAGGTCCTAGGGGCGAGCAGTGAGGGCAGAGCAGAGGGAGTACTCCAGCTGGAGGCACAGGGCCCCTGGGCACAGCTGGGTCCACGCGGGCCTACGTCACCGCTGCACCAGGGCCCACATGTGCAGCCACACCGCTTGCTTGGTAGGTCCTGCCTGTCGCACTCTGCCTAAGGGTCCACGGCCACACGGCGCCTCCTGCTGTAGGCAGGGAAGAGTTGCAGGGGATCAGGGTGGTGCCAGGCTACGCTACCTCATAGTGTTCAAGGGGAAGGAAGACAGGGACGCAGCAGAGGCTGGAACACGACAAAATCCAAATCCATCCGGAGCCCCTCAGGGGTGCTATCTGGCACAGAGATGAATGGCCTAATTAGCCTTTTTAAATGGGTAATTGTCTTAATGAGCTTTCCCAGGGACTTAGCCATGCTTGCCACAGGCCCACAAGGCCACTCACGGGGCCTGGCAGCACCTGCCAATCATGCATGTCCCACAGGAGGACAGGACTCGGTCATGACCATGCAGGCAGGCTCTGTCTGTGGCCTGCACATCCAAAAGCCAGTTGAGGCGTTCACAGTCAGTTCAGCTCACAGTCCTCGGCCCTTGCCTAGAAGAGGCAGTGGCTGGAGGTGGGGGACTTGCTGCGAGAAGACAGCATGTGGTTCTGAGAGGGGCCGTGCACGCTGCTGCAGCCTCACCGAGGAAATGGAAACCATATGTGGCCTCAGAGGGCACCAGGTGAGCAGGCGTCCTGCACAGGCCGTGGTGACAGGATGCAGCTGCTGGCCATGAGTGGGGCCACAGTGCTGAATGACCAAGAAACTCATTGCCAGGCCTGCCTGCAGCCTGCTGAGATGAGAACCAGGTGGCATCTACTTCTGCGCGGGTGGTCCCAAAGCACTCAGGGTCACATGCCTTGCTGTCCAAGAGAGGGACCCACCACACCAGGATCCAGCTCCTGGCTCCCAGGAATCCACCCCTCACCCTGACTCCTCTCTTCCTTTTGCAGCAGCCCAGCATCCGCACCTGCTCTGCCAGGTGGCCTGGCAGCAGCACCAGACTGGTCTCCCCAGGAGGACTGAGCCAGACCATCAGGTGGGAAGGGCACTGGTACCCAGACGCCCCCTCACATGGACACCTCCACTCCATGGGGCTGGATCTGCTGCAGGGCAAAACAAATGACCTTGACTTTGTTTCTCCGGGGATTCCAGTCGCCCCAGTGCCTACCTGGCAACCCCAACCTGATTCTTAGCCTGGTGACCACAGGGAACCAGGATGGGAGGACTCTCTTTGTCAAGGACAACACAGGAAAGCATCTGCAGCCAACCAAGCACAAGGCTGTCCGGAGGGGAAGGTCCTGGGAGAGCGACTCAGAGTAGTCAGCACACCGGGAAAACGCTGTAAAGGCTTGTTGAGCTCTGATCACAGCCAGCCAGAAGCCTAAGGTCCCTGTGCTGAGGCAGGGCCAACATGAGCCCAGGCATGGCCAGCAAGGTGTTCTCACCGGGGCTCCCTTCAAGAGACCACTCTTCTGTCCATCACAGAAGGGCTGTCTTCAGCAGGTGTCACAGCTGGCACCTCCACAGCAACTGAAACTTACCAGCAAGGATAGCACTGCCTCCCCACAAGGCCCACCCAGGCACAGGCACCTGGTGGCTCTGAATCCAAGCCTCGCTGAGAGATGAGCTGGCCACGTGTGAGCCAGCCACGTGTGACCGCACCTCTGTGAGTTAGAAAACTTGACCACCACCCACCACCAGTGACACTGGCTTCTCTGAACCACCAAGCAGGCATGGGTCTGGACCTTTGGGCCAAGTGGAGGCTGAGGGTCACCACCAGGATGCTTTCTGAGGTGGCCTACAGCTGTGTGAGGGAGTGTGAGCTATAATTCTATCAGTGGAATTGGTAAACAATAAATAATGACATAATAAAGGTGAGACATCATGGTTGACTTTGTTAAGAAGAAGACTAGCCAGAAGTTTACATCCTCAAAACAAAACACAAACATAAGCAACAATTTACATACCTGTCAGTGCACCCACAGCCAGGCACTGACATCTCAGCTAGGGTGACACCATCCCCTGCCCATGGGTGGGCACTAGCCAGCCCTCATGGAGTGGAGCCTCAGTGAGTGAGGCGAGTGGGGCTCAGCCCCACTCCCCGGCTGCATCTCCCTTGGATGAAGGCTGCTGCCAGAGGGCCAGGGCACACATGGACACTTGCTCAGGGGACGGGCCTGGAGCCACGTGCATACCTGAGAGCTTGGCCACCTCCGCTTTCGCCACACCCTCGACCTCCCCTCGATGGCCACCAGGAGCCTCCTTTGCCAAGTCCACAGGGACGTCTTCACTCACAGACAGGGTGGTAAGTGTGCTGACCACCAGCACGCCCAGGCCAACCCAGAGCACCACCTGGACCAGACAAGAGAAGGGGTGGTCACAGCTGTAAAAACTTTCTTTGCAGGGTGCAGAGGGGCAAAGTGCAGCGGGTGGAGCTGGGGGCGGGGTGACGATAGAAGCATCCCTCCAGGAGGGCAGCACAGGCAGCTCAGCAGATGGCACAGCTGCGGATGGCAAGGAGCTGAAATGAAGCCAAGAGTGTCACTGCTCCCTGATCCATCAGAGTGGTCTGCATGCTCATGTGTCCTTTCCTCCCTCAGGGGTGGCAGGGCCGGGGTGGGGCACGGGGACAGAGTGGAGTCAGAGGGGCTGCGTCTCTGCAGAGCTGCCGGGTGAAGAGCTTCAGAGAACACAGTCACCACATGTGTGAAGGGTGCAGAGACCCAAAGCTGATCCAGCTTCCCAGAAGGGGCCAGGTCTCTTGAATATAAGGCAAGAGGAATAAGGGTCTTGGCGCAACTGCCCAACATGAGGGTACCTTATACCTATCATCAAGATGCATGTCCCCTGACCCCCCAGGATCCATGGGTATGGGTGACCTTTCCCCAAACACCAGCCACACTCAATGCCCAACGTAAGTTGGACATACTTGGAGATGGCAAGAGGAGGCTGTGCTGCGTCACTGAGGAGATACGCCCAGCCTCCCTCAGCTGTGGTGGGGTGCCTGTCAGTGTCCCCACAAGCTGTACTCCAGGCACTACTGACTTTTGAGGGGCCTCTCCTGCCTTCTGAAGGGCCTCCCCGTGGGTCATAAAGTCTTCAGCTTTACAGACACCTCACCATGTAACTGTCTTGCTGCAGCTTGGGCTATTTTAGGATCCGCACTTGCGGGGCCAACCCTTGCCTATGTGCTGTGCTGCCTCAACATGGGGTGCTGCTACCTCTCCATTCCAATCTTGTGATGGGGCAGACGAGGCAGCCTTCCTGCCCAACCATGGCAACCCTCCCTGCTCCATGGTCTGAAGGTCTCAGGGCCGGAATTCCTAGTCCTTTTCAGAAATGTATGTGGACTTTTTAAACAAATCAGCTTGGAAGAACTGCCCTCTGCACAAGAGGTAGCAATCACCCACATCTTTCCATGGGCAGGCACCTCCTGCCTCAGCCCCTCTGGCTGTGCCCCTCTGCTCCCCCAGGTTGGCCTTCCTTGCCTAAGGGGGTCTCTTTCTTCTAAAAACCTGTCCTGGTCAGGCTCCAGTGCCCTCTGCTGGCTTTAGAATGTCACCAACTCCACAAGGATCCAGACAAATCTGACTCAGGATTAGACTGACAAAAAACACAGTTTGTAAGGGAAGACAAGGCTTCTTTTGGTTCACAGGGACCCTTTTCGTTTCCAGGTGGCCAGGCCCTGTCCTGGGAACTGTGCTGCTTCCACAGATGGGACAGGCCCAGAGTCATGCTTGTCCACCTGAGCTCTCAGCTTGTTCCCTTGTTATCGACCCTGTGAAGAGCCATGTGTCAGTGGGGGTGGTGTGTGGTAGGTGACTGGGAAGTGTAGGAAGGAAGGTGCTCTGAAGCTGTTCCCAGAAGATAATGAAAATAAGAAAGAGAGACAGAGACAGACATAGAGACAGAAACACAGTGAAACCCCAGGGAGGTCTTTGTCATGGTGCAGTATGCGCTCACAACCACATGTCCACAGAGCTGTGACTGTGCACACTTGTTCTGACACCTCAAGCCAAGAGCCAGCCTCGGGCTGAAGAGCCAAAAGCTAGGAGCCATTCCAGCTGGAACACACTGAGCTCCTCCCTCACATGCAGGCCCTGCATGGCAGGCACATGAGGACACCTGGTAAAGAAAGAAAAAAGTCTGTACCAATGGGACAGAAGGAACTGAATTGATCATTCACTTCAGGTGAAGAACCAAGAGATTTAGAAAGCAAAAGCTGAGCAAGGTTAACAGGTAAAACATTAATGTTTGGAAATTCACAGCTTCCCTACATACAACCACTGAGGGAAGCCAACAGAGGAGATCCCAGCTGAGCAGCTGCATACAGGAGACACGCAGCTGGGCAGGAAAGCACAAGGCCTAGAAGAGCCTGCGCAAGGCCGTGCCCAACTGGACGAGTGGGAAGCACGTAGATGGTATACTGTAGATTGGTCAAGGTCTAAATATATTGATTCTTCCTAAAGTAACCTGTACCTCCCATGAACTCCAACTAGATCAAAAAACAAAAAGCAGAATCTATTTTTCTTAGAGTTGTCACCTGGCTCTAATATTCTTATGGAAGGGCTGGTGAGATAGCTCAGTGGACTAAGTGCCTGCTTAGGCAAGCACAGCGTCTGGGGTTTGATCCCTGGCACCACATGCAGTGCCAGCCCTGCCCCCTGATGTGTGAGCAGGCCAATGAGACCGGGAGTGGTGGCACACACCTGTAATCCCAGCACTGGGAAGACTGAGACAGGAGGATCACTACAAGTTTGAGCTACGTAGCGAAACCCTATACCAAATAAATAAATTTAAAAGGAAAAAAAATTTTTAATTTAAAAATACATTAATAAGAGCAAAAAAACAGGGATTCAAATGAATCCCTTATAATATATTAATAAAAGCAAAGAGGAGGGCTCAAAATTAAAGCCTTCAGAGACTGGCAGGTCAGAAGGTAGCAAGTGCTGTTACAAGGCCATGATAATTAAAGCAGTTCAGAGGGCAAAACTGACCAACAACTAAAATGCAAGTTCCCAATGAGGCCCAGCTACATATGAGACATTAATATATTAACACTTCATTTTAGTAAGGACTATTCAAGTGATTCATACCAGTGACAGATTTAGTCAGTAAACAGTGTTCCACAGCCAGGGAACCACCTAGAAAGAGAGACACCTACCTGACTCTTACACCAAAATAAAATACAGAAGAGTTGGGGCTAGGGATTTAGCTTAGCAGCACAGTGCCTGCCTGGCAAGTGCAAAGTCATGAGTTCAATTCCCCGTACCAAAAAACAAACAGATATAGATATAGATATAGATATAGATATAGATATAGATATAGATATAGATATATTAAACATTTTAAAGGAAAAAAAGCACTGGAAAAGTGGTAGAAGATTTTTTTTTTTAAATAATACTGGAATGGGGAATGTCTAGTGATTTGATTTCCTTATGAAGAAATAAAGAATGATGAGTTTGAGACTTTACAGATGGAAAACAACATTTGCAATCTGACAGGCAATGGGCTAATTTCCTCCAACTCACTAAAATCTCCTGCCGCAGATGGTAGTAGAGAGGCAGGTGTCAAGCTGTTCTTGTCCAACAGTAAAGCCTGGATCAAAGCTCTTGATCACCTGACTGAAGATAGTGAACAACCTGGGCCGCTCATGACAGGAGGGGTTGTGACCTGGGGGCAGCACTCAAGAGAGCCAGGCTTGCTGCCAGGGCCCTCACCACCACGGTGCCAGCACCGGGGAAGACACTAGGTGGCAGTCTAGATGTCTGGCAGACTCCGGGGTAGGGCACCAAGAAGGAGGAGCAGCTGGGGCTCCGGCAGTCACAGCCCCAGAGACAAAAGGAATCCCAGAGAAGCCAGACAGCACAGCCCTGTGTGCCTTTCTCCCCAAGCAGAGCCAGCTTCCAGCTGTGCAGCGGTGAGCAAGCACTGAGCAGGAGCAGCTGCCAAGAGTAAAACTGCAGCAGCCCATTCAGAGGCCTGAAGGATGTGGCGTTTACTGCAGATCCTGGCAGCCAGGGCGAGTGGACACAGGTTTGCTGCAGCTGGGCCCAGCCTTCCCCTATCCTGTCTGATGGCTGGAATGTCACATCACCCAGAACCTCTGCAGCTTCTCAAACAGTGACGGCAAAATACCAAGCATGCCAGAAGATAAAACAAGACAGAAAACCAAGAGACCAAAAGGCAAGGATCAGGAAGAACCTACTACAGATGTTCCTGACTTACAGTGGGGTTCTAGCTCTACAAACCAACATACACTGAAACTAACCCAAGTGGAGAATGCATTGAGCCCACCTCCACTAGCAAACATCCTGCCAAGCAACCCAGCACGTGACAGGCACCGCTACCGTCCCCTCTTGGCTGCAGGCTGACTGGGAACTACAGCTCACCACCACTGCCCAACATCACAAGGGTATTATGCCACAAACAGCTAGCTTAGGAAAATATCAAATTCAAAACTCAAGGTACAGCCAGGGAGAAAGCTCGCCTGGCAAGTGCAATGTCTGCCTGGCAAGTGCAAGATCCTGAGTTCGATTCCCAGTACCAAAAACAAACAACAACAAAAAAAAACCCTTCAAATTATAGTTTCTATTGAATGTGTATCGCTTTCACAATATCATAAGGTCAATGACTGTTAAGCCTGGAACTGTGTATATCTGAAACAATAATAATATTGTTGTGTGGGGCTTTATCATTTTAGATATACATAATGATCCCCATAGGGAATTGTTAGCTGTATATGATATACCTTGATTTTTTTTTGTCACTACCTCTCCTACCCTCCTGTCATCCCCTCTTCCCCTCCTTATTTACAAAAGCTTTATTTCCATTTTTTTTCCTTCTTTTCACTTGATTTTCTTTTCCCTTTCTCCCTTTCCCCTTCACCCCTCCCTAGTTCCCCTTCCCATTTAAACATTTTCTATTTCACAGTATCTATTACACACTTTGGTCCTTATTTACACTTTCAGTTTCTCATGAAGCAATGCAACATTTACACATGTGTGTTTCAGTTCATTTACAAGTATGGTCTCAAGGTGCATCCATTTACCTAAAAATGTCTCAAGTTTATCCTTCTTTATGGCTGAGTAGTACTCCTTTGTGTGAAGACACAACATCTTCTTTCCCAAGAATCAGTTGCTGGGCATTTGAGCTGCTTCTACGATTTAGCTATTATAAACTGTGCTGCTAAAAATATGGGTGTGCATATAGTGCTGTGATACGATGCTTTTAATACTTGTGGGAAAAAGGGGAGTAACTGGGTCGAATGGAACTTCTAGCTTTAGTTTTCTGAGGAATTGCCATACTGATTTCCACAGTGGCTGCACCAGTCTGCACTCCCAGCAACAGTGGAAAAGGGCTCCTCTTCCCCCACAGCGCTGCCAGCGTATGCTACTGGTTTATTTCTTTATAGCCATTCTTTCTGGGGTGAGATGGACTCTCAGCATTGTCTTAATTTGCATCTCTCAAATGGCCAGTGATGTTGAACATTTTTTCACATATTTATCTACTACTCTCACTACCTCTCTGAGAAATGTCTATACATAAAAACAATCACACTGAAGGCCTTGGAGGATTACCAGACTTTCTAAAATTTTGGTCATGTAAAGAAGCTATAAGGGGCCAGGGAGATGGCTCAGTAGAATAAGCATTTGCCTGGTAAGCGCAAGGGCCTGAGTTCAATTCTGCAAAAAGAAGAAGAAGACGAAGAAGACGAAGAAGAAGACGAAGAAGAAGACGAAGACGAAGAAGAAGAAGAAAAAAGGAAGAAGGAAGGAGGAAGGAGGAAAGAAGGAGGAGGAGGAAGGAGGAGGAGGAGGAGGAAGGAGGAGGAGGAGGAGCAGGAGGAGCAGGAGGAGCAGCAACAGCTATAAGGGCCCAGGAAGATAGCTCAGTAGAATAAGCTCTTGCCTGGCAAGCGCAGGGTCCTGAGTTCAATTGCCAGTACCGAAAAAAAAAAGAAGCTATAGGTAAAAGAAGAAATCACAATGGAAACCAGAAAATATGGTCATTAAAGGATAATGTCCATCCTTTAAACTTCTCTGCTCTCTTCTGTTTTGTTTTCTTTTGTGGTGGTAACTGGGAATTGAACTCAGGGCTTTTGCAACCAGCTATATCCCCAACTCTTTTTTTTAATTATTAATTTTGCAACAGGGTTTTACTAAGTCACTAAGTTGTCCAGGCTGGGCTTGAACTTAAGATATTCCTGCTTCAGCCTCCCAAAGTGCTGGAATTACAGGTGTACACTATGACACCCAGCTTCAATCTACTGTTTGGTGCAATGTCAATGAAAATGTATTTGCAGGGCCACTGGTACAGCTCCAGGCACAAGCACCTGACTGGCAAACCCAAGGTTCTGAGTTGGAGTTCAGAAAGAAAACAAAATTTTTTTAAAAAAATTGTTTGTGCATATGCCAACAGGCCATTCTAGGAAAGAGCATTTAAAGAGAAACAGTGGGAGGACTCCTTAGATAGGCAGTACTGGTACAGCAGCTGGCAGTGCCCCTGTGGACAGAGAGGTCCCTGACAGCGTCACACACCCCTAAGGGACTGAGAGGGACATGCCTAGCAAAGGGTGGTGTGGCTCCGCCAGAGACCCATACTGCACACCAGTCTATCCAGGGCGAAATGCAGATCGAAATGTGAAAGATGAAATTAAAAGCCTCCAGAATATATAACTGTCTTCAGAACACTGGCGCAGGCAAAAACTTAAAATAGGACATAAAAAGCACCAAGAAGAAAAAAAAGATCAATAAGCTGGACCACACTAAGATTGGAACTTCTGTTCATCAAAAAATGACCCTAAGGAAGCAAAAAGACAGCCAGGAGGAAAACATATTTTACAACATGTACTTCTGAAAAAAGGCATCTAGACTCTATTAGAAACTCCTCTAAGTCAGTAAGAAAAAGATAAGCCAATAGGAAAAAAAAGAAAGAAAAAAAGAAAGTCACAGACACATTCATAGAATATGATGGCCACACGGCTAGTGAGGACACAAAAAGGCCCACAGTGTCATCAGGCAGTGGGGGCTGTACACTGGGACAGCAGTAAGATGACCAGACCCTGGCACACCCTTCAGAATGGCTGCCACTGTATGTATGTGTGTATGTATGTGTGTATGTGGTACAGGATCTCCCTATGCAGCTTGGACTCATAGTAATCCTCCTGTCTCAGCCTCCCCCGCGCTAGGATTACAGCGTGCACCACCATGCCCGGGTCTGGTGGCCGTCATTGTGCACCTGGGGTCCTGGGAGGGCTGCCGTTTTAGAAAGGGACAGTAAAGGCAGGTGCAGTAGTGCACATCCGTCATCCCAGCACACTGGAGGGCAGGGCAGGAAGACGGCAAGCTTGAGCCCAGCAAGGGCAACTCAGCAAGACCCATCTCAAAATAAAAAATAAAGAACTTGAGATATATCTCAGTCCAAAGCCCTGGATTCAACCCCCAATAGTGGGGTGGGGCGGGGGGGGATACACACACACACATACACACACACACACACACACACACTAAAAGGGATAATAGATGGGAACTGCGGTGAACTCTCCATGCAGCAAAGGCATCAAGGAAACCCAAAATCCAGATGGCAGAAGCCCTGCAGCCAAGCACAGACCGCAGGGCCAACAACCTCCTCCCAAGTGCAGAACGACACACTCCACCAGCACCGGAAGCAGCACTCAGAGCAGCAGTGTTGACCAGAAGCCATCTGTCCTGCCTAGTGGAGAGTAAAGTGTGGGGGAAAAAGGCACAGAAGGGAAAACTGTACCACGAACTCCTCCCACATGGTCCTGTGGGTGAGCCCTAGCAGGAGGCTGAGTGAGAGGACATGTGTGAGATTACAATTGTGTCAAGTAAAAGATGGACAACATCACCCTGAAATGTTAGCAGCCAGCCAGCAGCAACCTCTGGGACAAGGCAAGGGTGACCGGGGTGCCCAGGAAAGAAAGCCTCAGGTGCTAGGCGTTGCCTTCTATCTCCCCGATTCCAGCTCTGGGGCTGGGTTTGCTTTGCACAACTGTCTCAAGTTGTACACACAGTTTATGTGCTTTGCTGCACAAGTACTCTACTTTTAGACACTCACCCATACACATCAGTAACAAAAAGCTCAACAACCCTTTAACAAGGAAGCAACAGAAAGAACAGTTCACAAGCAAAGAAGTGCAAGTGGCTCCCAATCCCCAAAGGACAGATGGAGAGGCAGGGCTGTGGGACAGAGGCTCCTCCTTTCTAACCACAAAACCTCATGTGCATGGACACACCCGTGTGTGGACCATTGCAGGTCATCAGAATGCTGTCTGTAACAGCAAAAGGCTGGGGATGGGCTCCAAAGACTGGAATTACAGAACTTTGCTAACAATGTAGTACCAGGAAGCAGTTAAAAACAGCAAAGCAGTTGAATGGACAGACACACACACACACACACACTCACTGAGGAGCAACTTGAGCAGGATTTTATGCAAAGCAGCAAGAAGCTGGATCTCTATTAAAAATAACAAAAAGAGCATGAGAGTGAACACATGCAAGCTCATGCATGCACTATCTCTGTGGACACGGCACAGGTGCCAGCAGCGGTGCTCTCAGGGCAGAGTGGAGCCCTGGAGAGGGGACCCCGATCACAGCACGGAAGCCTCCAGGAGAGAAGCCACGGCAGAGTCCTTTCCAGCAAGCCCCGGCGCACACAGCTCACAGGCTTAGACCCACTGTTTCCCACACATCTGTGTCCAAGTATTCTCTGAGCTAGCAACATGCAAGTGAGTTGGCAGGCCTGGTGTGAACACGTCAGTGGGACACTACTCTGCCAGTCCCCTGGCGCCTCAGCGCACCCACCAAGTGCAAACCCCTGGACACACACTCACCTGGGCAGAGAGGGCGTTCTTTTGGGCCTTCTTGTAGATTAGAGCTGGGCAGATGAAGCAGATGAGGCTCCCCATCGTTGCCCCCGTGAGGCCCAGGATGGTCTCCACTAGGAATAGATGTGACACCAGGCAGTGAGCAGGACAGGCCTCAGCAAAGGGTGGCCTCACTTTCTCCCAGCACACAGGGGAGATGCTTTATGGCAAAGGCAAGGGTCGGAAACAGAGGCACCAGATCCATTAGACTGATTTGGATCTGGAGGAAGGTGGCGACTGCCTGTGATTTTAAAGGGAAGCTCTAGGAATTTCCCACCAAAATCAGGTGCTGGCTCTGCATGGTCTGGGTCTCGCTGCAGGGACGTGGCAGGTGACTCAGGGGCCTAGGAAGAACCAAGTATACTGGCTTGGTGTAGCTGCTGTTGAGGACTCGGATAAGAAGCCTCTGGGGAGGACCTGCAAATTCCTATCTGTGACAACACTCTCCCACTCACCAACTGGGAACAGGCATACTTGGACAGCATGAATGCTTCAGTGTTCTCCCGGTACATGTGGACAACTTCAGGAATCCACAGAGTGTGAGCAAAGAATGAGGAACTCTACAGACAGACAGCCCATGCCTGCGTCCCAGCCCACAGGTCTGCCAGGGTATGAACCACTTGGGTTTCAATATGTGCCTGCTGTCCCATCAGGCTGCCGATGTTGTCCCCAGCCTTTCTCTTTGAGTCAAAGAAAAATATGACCTGGGTGCTTTTAGACTTTTCTCAGAATACCCAGAGGACAGCATGAGACTCTGGGACACAGGAAAAGGACACCCTGAGGCCTGAATGGAACAGCAAGAATGACAAAATGGAAGAGAAAAGCAGCAGGGCCAGTGGCTAAAGGGGCTGCCACCTTACCATTGGGGATCATGATGCCACCAACCATGGTCCCAAACACAACCGAGAGGGTCAGCGCTTTAAACCGGAGAGGGGGCATGTAACCTCCAGCAGCGAAGGTTCCATCTTTTTGCTATATAAGAGAAAGCAGAAGTTTCAAAATGAGTGACTTCCCCTGCCACTCCTGCAAAGCAATGCCAGGCACAGCAGCCTGTCTCTGCGAGCGCGGGGGCACTGCCCCAGCAGGAATGCAAGCATCACCTGCACCATCAGGTCTGGCTGAGTGACTCTAACAGGAGCCTGTTCACTGCCAGGAAGACATGTACCAACCACAGAGCTTACAACTCTGTTTTGCAATGTTAGGGTTGAGTCCTTCAGTTTTCCTCTGCATTTTCTGAGCAAAACCATACAAGAGATTCTTAAAGAGATACAAAGTGTGGACAACAGAATACAGACACCACAGGGTCTCCTAGTCCGTGGGTTCAGGCCTCAGGAGAAGCCTCTCCTACACATGTGCACATACATGCACGCTTGGCTGCATCATCACCAGCACGTGACAAGCAGTTAACAATTTCAAATTCCAGAAGAAGGAAAGAGAAGGAGGGTGTGACGTGGCACAACCACACACCCCTGCTCACACTCCCCACAGAGGGACACACGAAGGCTGATGCCGCGTGCAGCAGTATCAGCAGAGGCACTGGCTGCTGGCTCCACCTGCCCTAGAGCCCTGGATGGCCAGCTCGGATCCTGGCTCTCTATTCAGAGCCTTCATTTCCCCTCTACCAACAGAAGCAGCTCTTTGTCAGGCTATGATAACCACCACAGGCATTAACACACAGGCAGGATGCCCATGACAAACATCCCTAGGTTAGGAAAAACCACAGAATCTTCCAGACCTCAAATTCTGAAGCCCCCAATTTTTAGAATAAACATTTATACCAGACAGACCAAGGGAGCTGGAGCCAGAATCTGCATGAACTGCAAAACTGCTAACACAGAGACAATTGTGAGACAGCTCCCAGGGAGGTCACAGCAAAAGGCAGAAAGCAGTGCCCCGCTCCCAAAGAGAAAGAGCAGCAACCAGAGGTGCCGTGGGTTTCCACAGGCACACAGAGGCACAGCCACCACAGGCTGCAAGTGGAACTGAGAGGAGGGCCGGTGTCTCCGCACGCACATCAGAGGAACCATCAAGGTCGCCCTTGACGCCTCAGTGAGAGCTTGGTCTCCACCCCCGGGCACGTGGTAGCACAAGCGCATCTTTGGTGGTTAACTCGGTAAGAGGCAAAGGACATAGGCAGCCTTTTGATTTCAACGCCTGTATAAAAAATTTCTCGCAAAGCAGCTATGACTAGATTATTAAGATTTTCGAAGTTAAACAAAAGTAAAAAAACAATTCAACAAGGCCACCCCACAACTCCTGAATTTACCAGCACTAGCCAAGCAACCCAGTGCCCAGGTGCCCCAGCCCACCAACAAGGCCTGCCCAGGACTGCTCTGAAGCAAACCTGCTTCCTGCTATTTCAGAGTAGGGGTATGACAGCACCAATTCCAGGAAGCACAGAGACAAGCCTAAGTGCTGCGTGCACACCAACGCAATCCCAAAAGGCCTATCTTTGGTGCTCTTCTTTCCAAAGCTAGTTTAAAATTTTCCTATTAGGCAAGGGGATGCAGTCTGGGGATATAGTTCAGGGGCAGAATGTGTGTTTAGCATGTACAATACACACACAAAAGAAAACCTCTATGGAGAAACTTTAATTCAACTGAATTTTGCTTATCTTTAATCAAGAAAACTCCTGCTACTGCTGCCCAGGAAGAGAGAACCCCTTCACCCTCACCCCCAGGATGCCTCCAGAACTCTACCTGCTGCTCGAAAAGCAGCGTGTTCAAGGCCTGCCTACAGGGCAGGATCATCATGGGGAAGCCCACGGCCACCGACATCATGAAGCCCACTCGAATCATCTCCGTCACCAGGTTGGAGGGGAAGTGCATCAACACGTTGCCCGCCGTGGCCTCCGTGAAGCTGACGTAACCACAAAACCCCACCTGCAGGAGGAGGAAAAAGCAATGTCATGAGCATGGCACCTGGTGGGGATGGGGGTACCCCCAGACTGGCCTGCAAACCCCTTCTCAAGAAAGCTGGAGCAAGAGACAGTCTCAGAGGGCAAAAATGCCTCTCAACTGCTCATTCACATAATTCTCTTTTGATAGCCAGAAAGAAAAAGGCGACAAATGACAGAGGAGTCCAATATAACTTTTCAAAAGGATCACTGAGAAGAAACAGAGCTGCCTATGCAGAAAGGTGCCAGACTGACCCACCCAGCCCTTCAGAGGGGCCACTCTTATAAGTCAGGCTTCAAAGCTCAACCATGGGGTAAGGTATGGTCCTGGCGGAAGAAGACAGATGTGGACAATGCTCTCCAGGGGCTACGTACAATATCCTACAAGAGTGCTGAGGCCACAGAAGAAAGAAAACAGGCTATGACTTCAGCATTTTTACAATCTTAAGACAAATAGGAGCATTAAGAAGACTACAATTAAAAAATCTACCAAAATCATAACAGTTCCCTGAGCTCCTCAGAAGACCCCAACATAGCCTGGGGGAAGGAGGCTCCCAGGGCAAGGCCCTGGATGACTGGGGTGGAGGAGCAGGGCCGCCCTGTCACTGTACATGCAATGTGCCCCAGACACTGAAAGGACAAAGAGAAGGAGGCAGCACCTGTGCAGAGGGCATGGAAGGGTCCTACCGTGACGTAGAAGGTAGTAACCACATTGAGGGAAGAGGCAAATATGGAACTCATGGTCTTCACAGAAGGCTCATCCAGGCTGTCGTAGGTAGGCAGGACCTGGCTGTGTAAAGACAAGCAATTCACAAAGAAGGCTCCAGGGAGCCCCACCAGCCTACTGCATGGCAGTTCCTGAGACCTCTCCTTCCACCCCACCAAGCCTGCACCCTTCCTTCATATGACACCTACCACGCATCATGACTCACGGCATCAAAGCTGGCAGGCTTCATGACACTACAGATGGCAGCACTGCGAGCACCCCCAGCAGCCCTGAGACACACCCTACACAGACATCTAACAAGTACCACAGAACCAAAGGCCGACTGGCCCGGAATCACTGCATGACCGCCACAGGAGGTGCAGCACTGAGACTGCAACAGCTTTATGGGGAGCAGGCTGAACGCCTAGCAGTCAAGGAAGAAGCAAAACAAACAGCCCTGGCCAGCCACAGCCTGACCTTCACCACTGAAGTGGTGCTGCACTTCAGTGTAGGAGCAAGCGGAGTCGGGCACATCCAAGGAGACAGCCAGGCTTGTTTCCCAACTCACGTCCTCTCGCCTGCGCCAGTGGATGAGAGAACTGGCTTCTGTCCCAGGCCTGGTGCCAGTGCAGCAGTGCTGCTGGGCCAGTGGGAGGGGCACAGGGAAATGGCACAGCCCCACCAGGCTCTCATCACACAGCCTGTCTTAGGACCAGGGTGACAGCTGAGCAAAGAAGGAGGACCTGGGCACCTGTGAGGGGTGGGACGTGGGAAGCAGGGAGATACTCTGCAGTTCAGGCAAAATAAAGGGCTGCGGAATGAGACTAGAAGGGGAGGGAGTCTGGTGGCCACCCTCCAGTGGTCCCTGGAGGCTGTGGCCTTCCTAGCTAGGTTCAAAGGCACAGAGGAGACAAGGACAGTGCGGGCAATGGGGAGGGGTCAGGATGCAGAGACTCGGCAGCCAGCAAATGGACAGGCACAACAGTCAGTAAAGCCAAATCCCAAAACTGCCTTTAAAAAGTGAAAGAAAAAAAAAAGAGAGAATGCCTCAACTCAATCAAAAAGTAGACGAGGCCCTGTGGGAGGGCATCATCCCTCTTCATCTCAGGCTTGTGGCATACTTTCCCTCAGGCTACTCTCAGCATAGGAAGTCACCACAGCAGTCAGGCTAGGAGGGAACAGGCAGACCCAGAACACAGCAGGGAACCCAAACAGGAGTCACCAAGTGTCACCATGGGCCCCAGCCTGGTTCCCTCAAAAAAGATTGGGTCTCAGCACCAACTTCGCTGCACTGACCAGGCTTTGGCCACCGCTGAGTTTGTGCCAGGAAGTCCAGCTTGAAGGGGTCCACACCAGGGTCCCACAGCATGTGCCTGACCCCTAGGAAACACAAGCCTATGAGAGTCTCCATCCAGGAAGCTGTAGTGGCTATGGGGGAGGCCATGTCTGGGGCCGGGGAGTGGGGGGTGGCTCCCCTCCAATCCAGACTGTGTTCCAGTGATCCCCTGGATTATACTCTGGAGAGAAAAAAGGTGAAGCCACAAGATCCCCTGGCCACCAAAGCAGCACCTCCCTATGCCGCTCGAGAGGACACTGTAGCCAAGAGCACCACCCACACCCAATGGCATCCCCACACTGCCCACCTTGCAGGGCAGCCCCTGTGACTGCATACAGCTCCTAGGGTGCTACATACTGACACCAATGCTTGGAATGGAACCCAGGTCTCCAAGTGCATCCTACCCTGCTTGACCTCGTGTGCTTGGTTGCTACCCCGGCTGCTTCTTTGGACTCAGAATGACAGCTCTGTAACCCACATTCATCACTAGAAAGCGTGACCGAAGGCCCGTGGTGGCAACAACCACTGAGTCCCAAGGCTGGGGTCTGGCTGCCGCCCCAGTGGAACAGGCCATCTGATACAGGACGCCACTGGAGAACGCACCCTCTGCTGCACACGTGGCAAACATTCGCATGGCCAGCACAGGCAAAGCAGGCGAGTCTGCAGCCCCAGTGCTCTCCTGGGAGGAGTAACAGGCCGGCACTCAGCGAGCTGTGTGCTCCCGCCCTCCAGGAACTCGTAATTTGCCCTAAGAATCAAACCCAACAGATGTGCAATGGCTGCTGCGTGGCCACCACTGGAGGCCCGATCACAGGCTTAGTTTTTAAAAAGCAAACACGCAGACAGAAAGGACAACTGGTAACTAGGTACACAGCACAAGAATGTAACTTCTGTCACTGATGATAATGGGGACGTTAAACAGCAAGGCTGGAGCATGTTCTGGTGGAAACAGAGCTGCCAAAAGAGACGGTAAGTGGGAAACGACGATTTGGATCTCGCATGTGGGTGTAAACACAGCAGTGTGAGCAAATTTTATGTCACATTAGTTTACGATTGGCGCGATACATGCACACCGACACTGTGGGGGGGCCCCTCTGCCAGCCCCCTACACACTGATGGTCTTTTCCGGTCCGTGCCGCATTTACACCTCTCTTTTCAGCTGGTTACTGCTCCAGTCCTGGCGTGAATCACCAGCTCCTGCCACCCTGGTGGAGTAGGTACCACTGCTAGGATCATGGAGCAGCCTGCTCTGCATTCACAGAGCCCTGAGAGCCAGGGAGCTCACCCACTGCCCGCCCGCGCACACACAGGCCTCAGAGACGTCCCAGCAGCAGCCTGAAATCAATGTTTGTGCAATTTCCTTTCAAATATTCGCAGAACAGCTAAATTCTGGCAAAACACTTGAGACTCTGCACACCCACAGCCAACTCTCCTCTCACCAGATCTGGCAAACACGATGTTCCTGCCAGCGAACCCAGCAGCAGTTTTTCTCTAGCTCACACAGAACTGCCCCCCTCAACCCAGAGGGTACAGGTCACACTGGAACATGACGCTGCTCCTCAACAACCAGAAATGAGCGATTCAAGAAACACAGAGGAGAAAACCAGAAGAACGGCAGCAGTACTTACGACTGGCAGGCGAAGGACATGCCAAAGATGGGAATGCAGCGGAAGACACCCTCCCAGCGCACGTAGCTGACCTGCTGCAGCCACTGTCCGCCAAAGAGGCCATGCTTCAGGGAGGACAACACAATCTGCACCGAGGAGAGAACAGGGCAGAGGTCAGGAGGCAGCCACACTCAGCCTGCCAGGAGCCATGCTGGGAGTTCGGGAGACCCTCAGCTCTTCAGCTCATAGTGCCACCGGCTGACACCCCCGTGAACATAGTTTGGGCTTCCTAGAGGGGTGAAGGGATACCACACCTCTAAGGGTCCCCTGTCTGTGATCCAGGAGACCACACCTTTGAGGGTTCCCTGCTTGTGACCCAGGAGCTCCCATATAAGCACTGGGTGCACCCACATGCAGAGGATTTCCTGTATACACCACCCCCTCTCACTGTGCAGGTCTACTCAGCACAGACAGAAACAAGAGCTCACTCCTTCACCCAGCCCAGCCCCTGAGGGTGGCAAGTTAGAGGACAGTGCCCTCAGTACAGCCTGGCCCTTCCCTGGTCCTAGGCTGTGCCACAGACATCTTTTAAGAGCTCTACCTCCTGAAGATGCAGCTACTGGACTGGTCCTCAAAGTGAGTAGAAACATGCTGGTGACCCACAGCCCACTCTGATATATGCCTCCTGCAAAGATAGCCCCAAGAAGGGTTGTTTCTGGCCTTGACATTGTGTGTTGGTCCGGGGCCTCGGGTGCAGGGGGACGGACAGGGACAAGGCAGCCAGAGCCCCAAGGCCCTCTCTGTGAGGTCCCCATGTCCTCTGTCAACTCTGTACTTTATCTTGCAGTCTATCCTACAAGCAACTCTCATTTAGAAAAACAACTTGCCACACGTGACAAAACATTGGCATCATACTCTTGCTCACAAATCCCAAAGGGAGGTCTTTCACAACATGTCCAGGCGCCCTGTACTTCTCAGAGCCGGGATATAATGGGGTTGGTCTCAGAGCCCCTCCTACCCTGAGTCCCTTGCATCTTCTGCTGTCTGACTGCTCCCATCCCAAGTGCCTACTGGCAGGACATGCGTGGGGCTTCACAGTACACTCCACCAATTCAAACACACATCCCAGACTCAGAGTCACTTTTCTGTCATTCCAAAAGGTAGCTAGAGGCTAAGCTAGACCCATGCATGGACGTCCTGGGACTGACCCCTTCTACTGCAGGTATGAGGCTCACCACAAACATGAAGATGGTGTAGAAGATGAGGGCCATGGCGCTGAAGGACTGGATGGAGGCCATCATATTCCTCTGCAGACTGAGTGGGAGCACGATGCACAGAGACACCCCAAAGAGCAGGAACACACGGAAGGTGCCACTTACCTGGAAGGGAAGAGTCCCTGGGGATCTGCAGCACTGAACTCACCAGCAGGGATAATCTGTGTGGCTATGCTGAACAAGGAGCCCCTAGAGGCCCAGTGGGCCAATGGCATCAACAGCAGCAGGCTGCAGGCGAATACACTCGCTGCCGAAGCTGTCCTAGAGGCCTCTGTGCTCAGGACACCGACCTCTTCTGATCCTGCAAGGTCCAGCCCAGCCAAAGCAAAAACGGTCAGTTGCCCCCTTTCACAGAGAAGAAAAGGGCAGGAGTAGGGAGCCTCTGCTGCGCTGGGCCCTCCCTGCATGCCCAGCACTGATGGGGACAGGCTGGGTCTCCAAAAGAGCCTACTGCAAGGTGCTTCTCTCCTGGATCAAAGCTGGTCCTGCTTCAAGGATCAGCTTGATCTTGAAATTCTGATCCAGAAAATTAATCACAAAACTCCAGACTGGTGTTTGTTACCACAGAACACATAAAGGTCTAAAGACACCTACTGGGGCTGGAGAGATGGCTCAGTGGTCTAAAGCACCTACTTAGAACAAGCTTGGCAAGGCATCGGGGACCGCGGTTCAATCCCCCAGCACCACATGCCAGCCAGCCTCGCCCCCTGGTGGGCTGAGCTGGCCACACACACACACCACACTCTCTCTCTCTCTCTCTCTCTCTCTCTCTCTCAAATAAATAAAAAAAAAAAACATTTAAAAAAAAAAAAAAAAAATAAATAAAGACACCTACCACCTAACTTGGCTGAAGCCAGCACATCCAACTTCCAGGTTCCAGTGGGCATGGTGACACACACTGTACGTCCTAGCACTCAGTAGGGTGAGGCAGGAGGATGGCCATCAGTTTGAGGTCAACCTGAACTACACAGCAAATTTGAGGCTAGCCTAAGCTACACAGTGAGTCTTTGTCTAAAAAAACAAAAACAAAAAACCCCCCACAAGTCCCAGTTCTTTATTTGCAGCTGACGGTACGGGTAGAGGAATGAAAGCTCTACCAAGACCCTTCTCTAGTACATCCTTTGGCTCTCTCTCCCAGTTCCAAACACCTACAGGTCTATCTCAAGTCTCCAGCTCAGCATGGGAGCTAATGGGCTTTTCAGGAGCGCAATAAAGAGACAGGAAAGGTAAAAGCAGCCTTTATTAACACTAAAGACACAGAGAGGTTGGAGGGTGGATGGGGGAATCTTCTGACCTGAGACAAAGCTGAGGCTTTTGTAGACTTCTGCCAGGGATGGAGTCTGGGGGGGATGTTTAGAAATATCTGAGCAGTTGATTAGGGTCTTCCCCGTGGCAGCGGGAAAGGTAAAAGGGAAGTGAACCCTGGGCTGGGTTGGAGAAGAAGGGGGGAGGTGGTCTCTGGCAAGATAAGCTGCTCTTTTAGGGGCTTCAGCTACATTAGATGACCTCCATAATAATTTAGCAATTCTTACTAGGGCCAGAACCTATCAAGAACATCTTACAAACAGAACTCTCAACAGCATACCAGCAAGAAACAAGGATAGAAAGGCTCTGCACACAACAACCAGAGGCAGCCAGCAAGGTCTCTCCCAAGCTCCACAGAACCAAAGGTCAGATGTCTGGCCTCAGGACACAGGACAGTAGATACAGGAAAAGTCCTAAGTGCTCTATGGACAAAATGGACCCAAAGTCTGCTCAGTCCACAGTGAAAACGTGAAATGGAAGGTCAAGGAGCAGACACGTTCAGAACACAAACCAGGGCCACACTCATGGCACGCTCACTGATCCTGCTGCTCGCTGACAATGTGAAAATCAGGCACATTCTACCCTACCTCTGCTGCTATGGTCTCTGCAAACTGAAATCCTTTTCTACCTCTGCATTTCTACCTGATCCCATCAGTGCTGGTGCCCAAATATGAGGGACCCCACACAGAGAAGCCCAGCAATGCTATGTCGCTCCATCTCCCCTATAACCAGCTCTGCTCCCACAAGTGCAGACAAGGTACCCAGGGCCCAGATCACAGGTGCAACCCCTCCCCCTCACCCCATGGTTGTCCCTGAGGCTTCATGGAGAAAAGCCCACCAAGCCTCCTAGCAATGCCCTTATACCCAAGGTGAAAACTAAGCTCCTAGCACAGCTGCTCTGGCTGATGGCCAAAATGCATGGGGCTGGGGAGATAGCTTGGAAGACTAAGTGCCTGCCTGGCAAGCACAAGGAGCCGGGTTCAATCCCCAATACCACATGCCATGCCAGCCCCAGAACCCCAGGTGCACCATGCTGGCCACCAAAACCAGGTGTGGTGACACACACCTATAATCCAGCGCTGGGGAGGCTGAGACAAGAGGATCACTATGAGTCCAAGCTGAGTAGCAACACCCTATACCAAATACATAAAAGATAAATAAATAAATGCATGAGACCCTGGTCACTTCTGCCCCTTAATAGGCAGCACTAGCTGGTGAGACCGCCCCACTCTCTTTTCCTCTCTTAGTGTCTTTCACCAATGCTATGCTAGCACAGCCCCTAAACCCCACAGAACGGGACCAAAGCCGACAGCAGGGCACAGGGAAGCTTCTCCCAGCCAAGCACACCAGTCTCAACCAACTGATAGAGTGACACTGCTGTCAGAGCAGCAACAACAGCACTCAGACCAAACCCCCTCACAATGAAGTCCTTACCTGAAACCCAAAGAGCCGAGCAAAGAAGTTGGACCCCAGGTCACCAATCACAACATAGAAGGCAATGCAGGTTCCAAGCATCAGCCCAATCATGCTGTAAAGATGAAAACTGTGGGTTTAAAGTGGTATTTTTGGAAGAGCATGCAGCCCTGTCGTGATCAAACCTGGGCCTGTGTGCAGAATTGGGCCATGGCATCTACAGGCCCAAGGGTGCCGAGGGCCAGGCCCTGTGCCGGGGCTGTGCAAGAATGCCCACAGCTTGGCTGCATGAGAGCTGCAATCTCAGACACCCCAGCCACAGGACCCAGGCATGCTTTGTAGTGCACTCTACTGGGCTTAGAGTGAATACTAAGCAACACGGAAGTCTTTGCTGTGTGGTATCATAGTTTTCCCTCCATGGGATGTTCTGCGACTTCTTCCAGGTACCACACACATGCGTCATGACTTTACACAAGTTAAAATCAACTGCTACCAAAAAAGGTTTTCTTTCAGGTTTATGATTTGCTCATTTGGAAGCCTTAATGTACAATTTCACAGCAATTTTTCATTTCATAAAATTTTCCTCCGAAGGATAAAAAACGCAGCTTTTTTAGTTTAATGCCAATTTTATGCAGCAGTTTTGGGAATACAGTTTAAGGAACAACATTAAGAGATTAATGAGGGAGATGATCAAAAGAGAACAATTTTGCTATGTTCCCCAAGTTGTCCATTTTTAAGTATTTCTTGGTAATATTTAAATAAAGCTTTCAACCTTAACAACAATCATTTTACGAGCACAATAAAACTGGCCTTTCAACTATTTTGTAGTAACTCTTCAGAAACATCGACGGTCTAAACCAAGCCACAAGTGAAACTTGTTATTCACTTCCTAACATTTTCTAACCACTCGCAATCCTCTGCAGCTGCAGGGGATGAGCAGGCTGCGGCCCTTACCTGGTCTCCACCAGCATCTTCCCGGCTTTCCCATAGGCGTGAAACGCTAGTGCAAAGGAAAGAGAACAGGCGCTCAGTCCTACAGTGTGAGCAGCACATTAGCAAAATAAGTACTGAGTACAGCTGCAAAGTGAAATTTGATGAAGAGGCACTGGCCCAGAGCTCATGCAGCACCACACACGCAGGGGTGCGGGGGGGGGGGGGGCGGCTACATGTAAATTCTGCTCCTAAGGCATTTTCGGGTTTACTGGCCACAATCTAAACTAGTGTGATGAGGACAAAACAAGGAAGACCCAAGGCAGACTGTTCTTTTTATATGATATGGGGGGAGGGGTCCCTGCAAAATGGTAGCTCCCCACAATGATTATGAGACCTTTCTAGAACAGTGCCAGGCAGCCAACCTGGCCCCACCCAGGGCCCTGGCACTGAGGGGTGAGGGTCCCCAGGGCTCAAGGATCCCACAAGTTGATTCCCATCCCAAATGTTCAATCTTTGCAGCCTGTACCACAAGAACATTGTAGGGGCGTTTATTTCACCCATTGGGCATGACATTTTTTGGGGGGGTCTTTTTTTTCTCTTTTTTAGTGTCAAGAATCGAACTCAGGGCCTCATGCTTATGAGGAAGGTGCTGTACCACTGAGCTACATCCCCAGCCCCCTGGGGACATGATTTACAGAAAATAGAATCCTAGCAAAAGCAGCAGCTGGGCAGGGTGGAGGAGACAGGAGCTCTGGGGCTCACCAGTGCCCAGGAAGGGCATCCAGAACCTTGCTGATGTGCAGCGTGTGTTGCTACAGCATAGGCTATCCCTCCACAAAACAAGCCTCTGTCTTCTCTTCCTGACGCAGAAGTATTTCTAGCAGATGAGAAATTAAATATTGCTTTGCCAAAGTCCCTCCCAGGACCTTAACAGTGATCCTGTCACTTAACATTTCCTTAGTCCAGTCTAATGAGGACAAAAGTAAGTTCTGGTTTCCAAGGAACAGTCCACGAGGAGTGCCTATGACAGGATGGCTCCAGGGTCACTGGGAGCCCCAACTCCCCGGCCCTTGTTTCCTCCCTTTGCACAAGGCCAGAGGCCCTCAAAGGGAGTGTAAGGCAAGAAACACAGCCAGCTGGGTATGAACAATCCACACACACTCCCTGTTATTTCCAGCTTACTAAGGAAGAGGCACAGTTGTCAAGGGCCTGAGGGCTTGGAGCAGTGCAAGATTTGTCCTCCCTGGCCTTTCTTAGACTTGGATTGCTAGCCAAGTAGCCTGGCAGCCATGGAGTATATTTAACAAAGTGAAATCCAAGCAGAATCCCTATATGAAATTCTGAGTGTGGATCAAGAGCTAAACTGGAATTTCAAAAACTAAGAACCCCAGAGGGTCTAACCAGAGAGCATACCGTCACCACAGAGGCCATTCAGATGTGGGCATCAGCACTCTCCACCCAACACAGTACTCCAGCCCCACACGTGGAATCCTCAGTGCCTATTCCTTCTTACTCTCCAAAAGTAAGCAACAGTCTACAGCATGCTCCAGACCCTGGAGTGCCCTGCCTGAACAGTCCTAGGATACATCTGTGTCCTGGGCACTAGAAAGTAGAAGGCAGTCAAGAAGTCAGGACAAGTGGGAAGTGGCTCTCTCCCCGGGCTCCCAGAACATCCTAGGTGGCAGCCATGCCAAAGACCAGGCCCTGTCACTGTGGCCTTCACCTTTCCTCTTCTCTTCCCCTGGGCCACCTCCTGGGTTGTCCTCGATGTGGACAGACATGCCCTTGCCCACATTTCTGTTCATTCTCCATCCAGGTCAGGCCACCCAGAAGGGTAGGCCACCTATGCAGAGGTCAGTGGCTCTGGCCTCCCCAGGGCCATGGGTAGAGCTGCCTCCCACTTCACCTGCCTGCAAACTCCAGCTGCAGCAAGAGAAGGGGAGGTGCTACTCAAGTGGAGAGGTGCTGATCAAGATGCGGAGCCACCTAAGAGGCAGGGAGGGGGAGCCAGTGACCAAAGGACCTGCTCCTACAGACAGAGGAGGGTGGCCTTGAGGTCTCCAAGGGGCACAATCCCATCAGCACATGGCAGTTACAAAATAAACAGTTGCCAGATGAAGTGGTTATAAATCCAGGCTGTAAGGGCCAGGATGATGGCTCAGTAGAATAAGCTCTTCCCTGGCAAGCACAAGAAATGCCAGGGAAGTTCAATCTCTGGTTCTGCAAAAAAAAAAAAAAAGGCTCACAAATCCAGCCTGTATGCTAAGCCAACAGCATGTACACGGGTCACCCCCAAAGACACGCAGAAAGAAAATCCACTCCACACTATGGCCATGCAGTCACCACCCAGCAGAGGAGGAGCAGATAACACAATGACCAGGGGTATGAAAGCCAGGTGACCCAGAAGATACACAGCAGCAACGCCTGCTCTGCAAAGGCCCGGTTGTTACCAAAAGCTCCTGCAGCTGGGATTGCTGCTTCCAGGCCAGACCACACACCATACACTTGGGGCTGAGGTCATAAATCAGGGTGAGGCCTAGGGCTCAGAACACTGGAGGGTGAGGGAAACATGGTGGTATCCTCTCTCCGACATGTCTTTGTATCTTTGAAGTGAAAACAAGGTTTAGAGAAGCCCACCTTGTGTAGGACAGGGAAGAGGAGGCAAGAAGTTTGCAAAAACCACAGAACCAGGATAGCAAAAGCAAACAAAATATGTGCACGATCCCAACAAAAACCCCATATAGTGTGACTTGCCACACCAACAAAAAATCATCCCCAGGGCCTGGAGCAGTGGGCCATATCAGGGTGGAGAAGTAATTTCCTCAGGTTGCCATACTGCCAAATGTCAGAATGAAAACCTGTGTCTAGGAGTAGCAGACTTCCATCAGAACACTGCCAACTCTCCCACACAATATGTACAGGTGAACAGGCTGCTTGAAGACACGCCTGCAGCACCCGAATTTCCCGCCCCCTCTAGTCTCCAGGTCCAGGTGAAGGCCATCTGCCCATCTCACCTGACAAGCTGCCCAATGCTCCTGACCTGTCCTGCACCTGCAAACACAAACTGGGCACAGCAAAGGGGTCTCTGTTCAGGCCCCACTGTGGGGCTATAGGTCAAGCCTGTGAGGTTTTCTCCTAGGCAAAGACAGAAGAAGAGGTGAAGGCCTTCCCAGAGGGTGTCTCCTTCAAGCCACTGCCAGAAGGGCTGCCCCCCACAGGAACAGCACCAGAAGATCCTCCTCTCCCTCTCTCAGGCACAGGCAGCGGGTCTACCCACCCCGAGGACAAAGGGACCCTGGAGCTAAGCAGCTGGCGGTGCAGACAGAAGCTCCATCTGGGAGCCGGCACTTGCAAGCCATCTTGTTTGGGATCAAATGCACAACCTGAGACCACTGATATGCAGGAATCTTTTGTTTCCAAACGGGAAAGTTGGTGCCTCAGCAGCCAGTGCACGGGCTGTCCATCTGGCAATTTTCTCTCAATCTTTCACATCTAGCCAAACCGGTTTGACTTCTCAAGGACTTTCGAAGAACAATCAGCCAGCCTGCTATCAGAATCAGAAACCACAGCCTCCCCAGCAGAGGGTTCCAAAGCCTTTTTCAGGTTATGGTGCATACTTGAGTTGTAACCTCTGTTACAAAACCTAGACAGAGATCTCAACAAGGAAAGGGTCAACCGGACCTACGGCTCTGGAAACCAGGAGAGGGGTTCACCCAAGTATCTCACCCTGGGTTCTAATGGGCACACTTCACCTCTAGTAGAATTAGATCACCTCAGTTTGAATCAAGCTAACTGACAAATCTTACTTTCTTAAGCACCAACAGTAAGACTGGCAGCACCACTCTCCTCAGAGCAGAAGAAAAATAAGACACTCCTTGGTTCTGAAGCCAGGAATGAATGTCAATGTCCTGGTGCCAGCACACAGCGGACTAGCAGGAAGCAAGAGCTGAGTGGCAGAAGCCCTCATACCTATCTCCAGAGATGGCTATTTTGCCTGGCCCTGGAATTCTGTGGCCCATGTCCTATCCGACTTTCTCTCATCCATGAGGGCCGGGTGAGCCCTCTGCAGGTGGTGCCCGCACACCGGCCACACACTGGCTAGAGAAGAAGGAGCTTCACTGCAGGCCAGGGGTGCTCACCAAACACCCTCAAACCAGGCCCTGAGGATAGGAAAGTAGCGTTCCAACACCCACACCACATGTTCCCAGTATGAGCTGCAGACCCCGAAGGCTCAGAGCCCGGGCCAACGCAGAAGAGGGAATTAAGCTTCACACGCCAGCCCAAGAGCAGCAGACAAGCAAGTGAAGGATGGTGTCCTTGAACCAAACTACCTAGAAAAGTTCCAAATTGCTAGGACCAGCTCCTTCTGGCTGAACTAAAGGAAACAAAGTTGCAATCCAACAATATCAGGAGGGAGACAAGACCTTGGGGGAGATGAGTTATTTAATCCAGCATGAGTTTGACCAGACTATATCTTTTCCTGGGAATTCCAGGTGGGGAGCTCAGCAGGATTCTTCTTGCCAACCCCAAGGAAGTCTTCCTAGTATCTGGATACTTACACAGCCACCAAGCCACCACAATGACAATGAGTACAGCTGTCTGTGGCAGATCTGGAGGGGGAGACTATGTGCCTATCTGCTCAAGAAGTGGGGGGATGCCTCATACTCTTCACCATCACTTCAATTATCAAGCAGTTTTTCAAAAATGTGTTGAATTTTAAAATAAGAGAAAACACTACCATCCAAGACCTTGTTAAGAATAAAGTAAAAGAAAAATAGACAAGAGGAATAAATCCCCAAGGCCTGAGGATTAGAGTGTCCCCTCTTCTTGAGAAGGCATCTAAATAGAGCCTAGCACCCAAGCACCCTGAGGGCCAGTTCTCACCCAGGCCGGCGTAGGTTCTCCGTTTGCTCAGGCTGGCAGACTTTACCAGGAACATGCATGACTGATGTGTCATCCAGGAGCAGAAGACCAAGAGCAGGGCGCCCAGGACAATGCCACACTGGAGGGAGGACAAAGAAAGCGTGTTCACAAAATCAGACAGTCCGAGCTCCTCCACCTCACTCCTCCTCAGCACTGGGGCTCATGCAGCCTCCTCTGTGCACACCTGTGTGCACCTGAGTCCTCTACTCCACTGCTGTCGACTCCTGTGGGCAACCCTGCTGAGCACTGAGAGAGCCATTTCTCTGCAGCCAATGGCCAGAATCCTGTGTGCAGATCCCAAAGAGCACCCGAGACACACCCCCGCCCCTTTCTCAAGTCTTGCCCGGCAGCTGGGTGTTGCCAAATCTGGCCTCACCTCCTGCACATACCCCACATACAACACCTTGTAGCCATCTGGATCACCTGTATGTGGGAAACACCTTCTGCAAGGAAGAGATTAGAAATGGCATGTATACCTTTCTTATAAATTAAACGGATACTTACCATGTGACTCTGAAACTGTACTCCAAGGTACTCCCTCAGAGAAATGAAACATGGTGATGTACAAATCTGTGCTTTACAGCAGGTTTAGCCACAATCCAAAAGCTAAACAGCAACTGACTGGCCCTCAGCAGGTGCCTGCACAAAGCTTGGTCCATCTGTGCAAAGGAATACTACTTGGCAGTAAAAAGGGACCCGCCAACTCCACATGGATATGCATGCTTCTCAAATGCACCATGCTCAGAGAAAGAAGCTGGACTCAGAAGCAATCAACTGTGACGCCATTTACAGGACAGTCCAAAAAGGAAAATTACAGGGTAGGGAAGTAACTGACAACAGAGGGACAGAGTTAAACTTTTTGACCATGATAGCCACATGACTATACACATACATCAAAATCCAGGGAATAAGGCCGGCCATATAGCTCAGTGGATTAAAGCACCTGCTTAGGCAGATGCAAGGACTGGGGTTCGATTTCCATCATGCTGTGCCGGCCCCACCTCCAGGGTGCGCTGAGATTGGGCATGGTGGCACATGACTGTAATCCCAGCGCTTGGGAGGCTGAAAACAAGAGGATCACTACAAGTCAGATCTGTGTAGTGATACCCTGTAGACCCTGTAATAATACATTTAAAAAAAAATTCCAGGTGACAGTACTCTACAACTCATAAATCTCAATGTATGTGAATTACCTCTCAATGACTCTGACATTTAAAACTTTAGCACCACTACACTTGTGCAAGATAGTAGCAAGGGACACTGAAAGGATGGAGGGGAAGTCTAGTGGAACTCCCTGTGATTTCTAGTCCATTGGCCATAAATCTAAACCTGCTAAAAATAAATAAATTCTATCAACTTAGAAAAACACATGCAAACAAGCCACAGAAGTGCTACATGTCTGTAATCCCAGCTACTCCAGAAGCTGAGTCAAGAGAAATGCAAGTTCATGACCGGCCTAGGTAATGTAGCAAGACCTTGTGTCCAAACAGAACGTTGAAAAGAGAAGGCGCTATAGCTCAATGATAGAGCCCTCAATGGTTCAATCCCCAGTATGCACACACAAATACACCCTCCAGAGTGCAGGCACTTGTACTTAATACCACCAAAATTCATCACAATAGGGCCGGACAGATAGTTCAGTGGATTAAAGCACCTGCTTAGGCAGACACAGGGGCCAGGGTTCCATTCCAGGCATGCCATGCCGGCCCCACCCCCAGGGCATGCTGAGATGGCAATTAAGACTGGGCATGGTGGTGTGGGCCTAAAGGTTTAGATTTTATTTTAATTTTTTTAATTGAGAGAGAGAGAGAGAGAGAGAGAGTGTGTGGTGTGTGTGTGTGGCCAGCTCAGCCCACCAGGGGGCGGGGCTGGCTGGCATGTGGTGCTGGGGGATCGAACCGCGGTCCCTGATGCTTTGCTAAGCTTGTTCTAAGTAGGTGCTTTAGACCACTGAGCCATCTCTCCAGCCCCAGGTTTAGATTTTAAATTCTACTTCAATTTAAAAACAGGCCACATAGCCAGACATAGCCTTGGGAGGCTGAAAACAGAAGGATCACTATGAGTCCGAACTGTGTAGTGAGACTCTGTAGACCCTGCCCTAAACACATTAAAAAAAAAAAAAAAAGAAAAAGAAAAAAAAAATTTCATCACAATGGCTCCTCATCCTCTGCAGGATTTGATAACATGCAGAGAACTTGGCCCTCGAGGTACCCACTGCAGGAGCACACACCTCTGCTAGAAACTCTGAGCAGCACATACTAGAGCTGGACACATAAATACCCCTGCCCTTGCCAGTCTACCCAACAGATACGCAGTAAGACATTCACCAAAGCCCAGGCAACTGTATTCACAACAACACTTTGCATACGGTAAGAGCTCCAACTAGGAAACACCAGATGCCTCACAAAGGTATAGTAATCTCTGGTAGGGCCATTCAATTGGATATTGGCTAGATGCTGAAGTATACACCTATTACAATATGTGAAGTATATACATATTACAATTCTACTTCAATTTAAAAACAGTACACATAGCCAGACAGGATGGCGCACCCCTGTGATCCCAGCACTCAGGAGGCTGAGGCAGGAAGATCGCTACAAGTTTGAGACCAGCCTGGGCTACAAAATGAACTCAAGGCCAGGGAGACTCCGCCAAAAAAAAAAAAACAAAACAAAGAAAAACAGGCAATATGAGCTGGGCATGGTGCCATACACCTGTAATGCCAGCATTCTGGGACGATGAGGTAGGGGGACTGCCATAAATTTGACACAAGCTTGGGTTACATAATCAGTTCAAGACCAACATGAACTAGATAGTCTCAAACAAAACAGCCTGGCATAGTGACACATGCCTGTAAATCCAGCATTCAGAAAGCTGAGGCAGGACTGCCAAGAGTTCTAGGCCAGTCTGAACTACAAAGGGAGACCCTGTCTAAAAAAAAAAATTTTTTAAAGAAAACAAGTAATACTACCTCTAGTACCAAAGCTGGGGCAGGAGTGACTGGCAAAGGGGCTGGAACTATGGTGTTCTTCAATGTGGAGCAAGTTGTATGTCTGTTCACTTCATGGAAATTCACCAGCAGCACACGTGCCAGGCATAGCAGCACAAGCCTGTAATCCCAGCACTGGGAGACTGAGGCAGAGGGATATCTTCAAGTTCAAGGCCAGTTTGGGCTCCACAGTGAGTTCAAGGCCATCCTAGGGTACATAGCAAGGACCTGTCTCAAACAAAGAGTACACCTAAAGTGTGTAGTTGTCTATATGTTAAACTTATCCTAAGATACTCAGATATTTACAACAGTGCCAGAATCACTGAAATAACGAACCAACAACAACAAAAGTTTTTAATGACATGGCTGCAGACATTAAACACACATCTCCAAATAGTTTGCTGGCCTCAGGCTATGCTCTGGCCCAAGAGCCCCCCACCCCACCCCCAGGAGACTTTTGAGTCCAGAGACAGCAGCAGCAGCTGGCAGGCCCTGAGGACACAACCGACCTTCTATACCTGCTGGCTGCTAAGTTTCAAGCTCCTCCAGGGCAGGTCTCTGCAAGCCCCCCTTTACCTGCTCTGGCAGGGGCCCATGGCACACCAGGTATTCCAAATATGAGAACAGCTGAATCACCTGGACCCTACACAGGGGTCAAAATTAGAGCTCCAACCACTTGGGAGACTGGCGTCAGGGATGGCGGCATCAGGCTGCAGATAAGGAACCAATCACCATTCCACATCCCAGGACACGGTTCTGCTAGTAAACAAGTTGCTGTGGACAGCACCACACACAGGTGTTCCAGACACCTAGAGATGGCTGCCACAGCACTGGGATTCACAACACAGATGCTTTCCTAAGGGCGCCAGTGACCTGTGGCTCCATCCTCCTACCTACAATGTAACCATGTCACTGAACCCACACTATCATCTTCCATGCATTTTTACCCAGACTAGAGGCAGGCCCTGTGGGTATCAAAAATTCCCACATCAAAAATATTTTATGTTTTTATTCAAAAGATCCAAAATATTGGGCCGGCCAAATAGCTCAGCCAATTAAAGCGCCTGCAAGCAGGCACAGGGGTCAGGTGTTTGATCCCTGGGCCTACCGTGCTGGCCTGCCCCAGGGGTGCACTGAGATGGCAACTGAGAATGGGCGGTGTGATGCACACCTGTAATCCCAGCTCTTAGGAGGCTGAAAACAGGAGAATCACTACGAATCCGATCTAGTAGTGAGACCCTGAACACGCTATAGACCCTTCCCTAAAATATAGAAAAAAATAAAAAAGATCCAAAATATGAAAAATATAGTGTTAACCTAGTTAAACTACTAATAATATAATTTTCAATTTCAAAATGTCCATCTAGCCAGACATGGTGATGCATGCCTGTGATCCCAAGACTCTGGGAGCTTGAGGCAGGAAAATCAACCAGGGCAATTTAGCAAGACCACCTCAAAATAGAGGAGGCAGGCGTGAGGGTGACAGGGCTGGGGATACAGTTCAGTCCAAAAGCCCTGGGTTCAATCCCCAAGACCTAAAAGGAAAAAAAAAAAAAGGTCCATCTTATTTCATTTTCTACCTCTGGCGTCAAAAGATACTAGTGGCAGGTCTTTGCCCTGACATTCAACTGCCAAGACCTCTCTGATGCACAGCTCCACCCTGCCACGCAGCAAGGGCCAGCAGCACACAGAACAAACACTATTCCCCTCAGGAGGGAGCCCCATGTTCATCAGTTAAGAGTCTTAAAGGAAGAAGTTACCCCATTTGACCATTCCAACAGCCTCTGAACCAGCGGCTCATCTGAGCATTAAACGGAAGTCGCACACACACAACTGTTTTCTTTCACGTGGCATTCAATGGTGAGATGAAACCAAACTTTTTTTGTAAAGTAAGATCTTTCCAGTTGGGGTGAAATGTGTGCAAAACAGACCAAATACGCAAATAATGTTTGTGGAATACAGTTCTCAAGTGACCGAGCTGGTGAATTTTTTAATCACCTTGTAACCAAAGCCCCGCTGCTTCTGTGAAGTTAGGGCTGAGTTTTAAAATAGCAGGATGAAATAAACCCCACTGAATCCTTTGGTTTCCCCCGGTGCTCACTCGGCCCTCTGGTACGGTTTAGTGTGCGGGTTTCGCCGGCACTGAGTTCCCGCCGTGCCCAGCGGCGCGCAGATGCCCGAGTGCCCGGCGCGCGGAAGTCGTCCGTCCCAGCTCCCGACCGCAGGGCCCCGGAGGCAGCCTGGACGCACCTGTTTGAAGCAGAAGGGCATGGTGAGCACGCTGACCCCCACTATACTGTTCACGACGTTCGTGATCAGCCCCCAGTTGGAGGCGGCGGCCGCGTTCATCCTGAGGGACAGCGCGGGCGGCGGGCCGGGTAGCAGGCGATGTGACAAGTCAGCCTCCAGACCCTGCCAGGCCGTGTGGCCGCCTCATGGCTATCCTCCCTCGCTTGTTCTGGAGACCACCTCCAAACTGCCGAGGCCAGTCCCGCAAAGGCCTGAGGTGACACTAGGGACCACAGCAGCTGCGTTTCGCCACTGCAGACTCACACATTTCCGCCTTCTGCGAGGGATCCCCCACTCGGAAGTGACGACCTCAGGGGCGGGGCGGGGCGCGGCGTGAAGCGTGCATAGGAAGAGCGGCCAGAAAAGGCCAACAAGGGAGGGGCCTCCCTTGCTGGGGCGAGGCGAGACGAGACAAGAGCCAATGAGAGGCAAAGTGAGGCCATATGGGCGGGGCTTATTGCTACGTGGGCCAATGAGAAGAAGATCTGTGAGAGCCTGGGGCGCATTCGGGCTCTGGGCGGAGTCTGGAGCAGGGGGAGGCGGGGCTCCAGTGGCGGCGCACCTGTAGGGCCGCAGAGCCCGGCTGCTAGGCTGCCCGGGCGCACCTGTAGGGCGGCCCACGGTTTTCTTTCGTGGGCCTCAATCTGCAAGGACAGAGGAGAAAGAGGGAGTCGCGGATTTGGAGAGTTCCTGGGTGGCATTTAGCCCCTAGGACGGTTTACGGACGTGCTCCTGGTTAAGAGGCTGTGTGCTGGTTCTGGGCTAAAAGCAATCTGTGCAGAGAAATTAGCACCTCGGCTTTGCAGAGAACACGTGAGGCACCGAGGGCTTCGGCTCTCAGCTAAGGACACACAGCTCTCAAGAGAGGGTGTGGTTCGCCAAACCAGAGCAGAGGGAGGAAAGTCTGAACGCCCTGAAATGAAGGGGCAAAGAAAAAGTGAGAGGGCAAGGGGAGACAGATCTGGCCAGAGAAATCTGGGAAGGAGTCAAGAAAGGGTGGCTTCTAGGTTGATGCTTGAAGGGCAGATGAAAGCATAGAAGCTGGGGGAGGGCGCAGGGTGGAGTCCTCGGGAGGAAGCAAGTAAGTGTGCTGTAGGCTGGAACTGTGCCTGGGAAGAATTACAAGTGGCTGGGAGAGGCCATCGGGAAAACAAGGCCACGTTTGCAGGCACAGCAGCTGTTCATGTCTTAGGAGGCGCGTTCGTCAGGCAACAGGCAGTCCCTTGGTGAGACTCTGATCCGCCCTCAAACAGGAGAGAAAAAAAATATATATATATGCCCGGGTGAAAAATGATTTAAGGGCTGGGCATGATGACTCATGTCTGTAATCACAGCTACTCAGGAGCCTAAGGCAGGATGATCAGAAGTTCAAAGCCAGCTTGGACAATTTAGGGAGACTTTGTCTCAACATAAATGGGACTGGAGATGTAGCTCAGTGGCAGTGCATCCCTGGGGTCAATACCCTGTGTGTGTGGCGGGGGGAGGTAATTGAATACAAAGCCAAAGTAATAAATGTCTACTTTGTATTTTTATGTGAGTAACTTTTAGTGAAATAACACACAACATAGGATGTGAAATTTAAATATATATATTTAATGAATAGCAATAAATACCCACAGAACCAACTAAGGTACTCCCTTTCTGTTCCCTCCCAAATCTACCTTCCTCCCCTCTTCACTGCCAACCTGGGATCATTTCTGTCCAGATTTTGTCATTACTTTTCTTTGACTGTGTACCACATCAGATATAGCTCTAAACAAGTATAGAATGACTACTATTTGTCTCTTAATATTTATGTAGGCCATTTTCTAATATAATAGGGATGCACATGTGGGTGCCTAGAATAAAGAATACATTCAATCCTTAGAAGGCAAGATCTGTCCCTTCTTATATTATGGAGTTTGGAACACAGACGTGGTGGTGTAAAGCCATCTTGGGCCATGGGCAAGGATGGAGTAACAAGCCAGAGAGAGCCAGATCCCTGGGCAACATCTCACAGCAGAGCCACTGCACTGGTCCCTAACTACCTTCTTCCAGGTACTCAATGGCAAAGAGGCAGACTGTTTGGTTTAGGATACTATTTTGGATTCTGTTTCCTGAAACTGCTGCAATCTAATTCAGTAGCATATTGGGCTAGAGTGCTTCTGCACTTTTTTTTAATACAGGAATTATATTTCAGATATTCTCCTGAAAATCTCTCATTCAGCATCATTTACAAGATTCACCCTTACTTGTATATTGCACATGTGTGCTGTGAGTCATTTGTTCTCACTACAAATGGAATCTATTGTTAAAGTAGCCCAGACTGTGTCTCTGTTCACCTACCAAGAGCACCGGAGTTGTTGGCAATTATTTGACATTATGAACAGCGATGCAGTGAGCATTACTGAACTTGTCTCCTTAATGTCTGTATATTAGAGTTTCTCTAGCGTGAATAACTAGATGTGGAATTGCAGATCCAAGCACATGCATACCTACGACTCTAGCCACAGTGTTCTTCAAAGTGGCTATAAAAATTCTGGTTTACATCACAGGTTGGCAAGCTTTTTCTAAGGGTCAGATGGTACATATTTTCAGCTTGTCAGGCCACGCAGTCTCTGTCACAACTACTCAGTCCTGCCAATGTGGAGGCAGCCTTGGGCAAGTGGGCATGCCAGCATTCCAGTAAAACTTTTATTTACAAAGCAGGAGCTGTCCCAATTAGCCCTGAAGGCTGCATATTGTGGGCCCCTGCTGTGTGTTGTCTTCCCTCATCCCCAGCAGTTTGATAGTATCAATTTAGCCAATGTACTGAATAGAAAGGAATCCCATGATAGCTTTAATTTCTTTTTCCTTAGTCTTTGTTGTTGTTGTTGTTGTTGTTGTTGTTGTTGTTGTTTGAGATAGTGTCTCCCTCTGTAGTTGAGGCTAGCCTTGAATTTACTATGTAGGCTGGTGTTTAACTCATGGTGAACCTCCTGCCTCAGCTTCCCAAGTACTGGGATTGTATACATGTGCCAGCACACCTGGCTTATTCATATTTTTATTGTTCCTTTATGTCTCTTCTGTCATTCTGTGAAATGCGTGCTAATTTTTTGCCCAACTTTTTTTACTTAGCTGTTCTTATAAATTTTGAGGAGATTGGGGTTTTAGGGGGAGTTGGATGAGGATTCAAACCCAGAGCCTTGTACATGCTAGGCAAGTCCTCTACTACCAATACACATCCTCACACTTGATTTTGAGACAGGTTCTTTCTAAAGTTCCCTAGCATGGCTTTAAACTTGCAGTCCTCCTGCCTCCACCTCCTTAGTAGCTGGGATCACAAGTGTGTACCTCTCAGTGGGGCTGGCATCTTCAGCTCTTGCTTGATAACTGACCCTGCAGCACTCACCTTATGTTTGTAGGATGCCTTATTGATGCCTTTATAACAAAACTACAAGAAATTTAGCTCCTTAATACAAAGTTATTATCTTAGTTTTATAGGCTAGAAGTCCCCTTCAGATCACATTGGACTAAAATCAACGTGTGGTGGGCCACTCCCCCTCCCAGAAGCTCCAGAACAATTGGTTTCCTGCTCAATTGGTTGTTGGTAAATTTGCTTCCCTATTTTCTTGCTGGCTGTAAACTGAAGACCATTCCCGGGCTGGTCACCCCCTTCCTCCATTTTTTTAAAAAATTTATTTATTTATTTGTGAGTGTGTGTATGTGTGTGGCCAGCTCAGCCCACCAGGGGGCGGGGCTGGCTGGCATGTGGTGCTGGGGGATTGAACCACCGACCCTTTGCTTTTGCTATGCTTGTTCTAAGTAGGTGCTTTAGACCACTGAGCCATCTCACCAGCCCCCTTCCTCCATTTTTAAAACCAACAAAATTTCTTTCAGGCCACATCTCCAAGCCAGCTGGGGAAAGTTTCCCTATTTTAAAGATTCATGAGATTAGACTGGGACCAACCATGAGATAATCCAGGATAATCTCTACCTCTCAAGATCTGTAACCTTAATCACACCAGCAAAGTCTTTATGCCACATAAGGTCACATCCTCAGGGGCTCCAGGTTCCACTGACCGCCTCCTGATGAGACGCAGGTTGTGTGTCCTTGTCATAGCAGTGGTGGGGAGTCTCACTGAAGTCATCAGTGATGATACTGCTCCAATCACTTGAGCACTCTCTCTAGGCCTTCTTTCCCCCTTGGAGTTAGTGAGTTAGAATCTTTGAAACTAGATATCCTGGTCCTTGTCGAACTTTCAGTTATTTAATTTACCTAAAGTGTCTATTTAAGTTCTCTACATTTCATCTATCCACACTTATCCTGGCTCTTATTTGATGCATTGGGTTATAATCCATGGCAGGCACTTTTCTTTCCAGTGCTGAGGATGGAATCCAGGGCCTCCACAGCTAACACTATCTTGCTGCTCAAATTACCCCACAGTTGGATCTTGGAGCCCCTTTGGCCAGCTCCTGTGTCCCTCTCATTCTCTAAATTTGTCCTTGCCTTCTGGCTCCGCAGGGTGTTCTTGGCTAATCTTGTACTTTTGCTGTCTCCAGGGACCCACGTTTCCTTTCGGTGGAGACCACAGGAAGAACCATAGTGGGGTGCTAAGCGCGTGGAGCCTCTGGGATCCCACTGCATGCCACATGTTCATGTCTGGATCTCTTCCTGTGCCCCCCTGCCAGTACTGAATGATGAGAGTTCTCCTTACTATCTCCAACCCACCTCTGGAGGGCCAGACTTCAGGCTCACCCTGGTGGCCTGTTCTCCCATGTTTGTGACCCCAACACTGCTATCTTCCCACCTCTCACCTCAGCTCCTAATCCCACTCAGGGAGGCCCCAAGGACACCTGAACCCCTCCCCTCACTTGGCTGCTCCCCAGCCCTGCCCTGCCTGCATGTTTTAGGCTACCTGTAAGGGCGGGCAGGGAAAGGAAGCCCTGGGGCCACAGTCCTACATCTTTGTTCCCCTCACCTCAGTGCAATCCTCAGCTCTCAGAGCTGTTTGCAGTTTCCTGAACACCAAGGCTGTGTGACCTCAGGCTTGTTCATGTACCTCTCTGAGTCCGCAGGTAGCACTCACCACTAAAAGGCTTCAAAAACCAGCAGCTTTCCACCAAGTCAACGGGTAAAACAGCTGTCAACGGGTAAAACAGCTCTTGTGGACTAGGAAGGACAGGAGACAGAGAGTATGGCTCTGGGTGCTGGCCTATGGGCAGGTCCCTGGGAACCTTGACCTACCTGTAAATCTGCAGTGAGGCTACTGCTTCTCCCATGCTGTGCATGAAGTCTGCACCCACTTCTCTTACAGGAGAACCAGGTCCCTCGTGACCCTGGGGCA